GGGAGGGGGTCTCTCTGACGGAAGATACCCTCCGGGGATCTTTCATTACAAACTGCTTAGGATGATTAAGGAATGCAAGTTAACATTTAGTCAATCAAACTCATGGTCTTTGTCTAGTTTATTACAGAAATATGTTTCCAAGTTTGAACAGATAGTAAATAGCTAAAAACAAGTAATGTTTCCCTATACAAATATACTATAGACAGATAAAGAGTGATTACGCACTCTGTCAGTGTGTACCGAGGAGGATGTGATAGCCTTCAAAAACCTCAGAGACATACACAATATGGCATTTAAAGATTATTATTATTTTAAGGATTTTTTTTGACAACAAAACATGTCCTCTGCTAGAAGCATCCCCTTTTGACCCCAAGGAAGACAAAACTTCTTATGGAGTTTGCTTGAATGTGGCAAGCCAGTCCGTGGCAGGGCAGGGGGAGGGCTTATGTAACAGAACCGCCCTTGCTTCAACTGCTGACAGTATGCTGTCCAAAGCAGACAGACTTCCATGCAGGGAAGTCGACTGTCAAGCTTTACAAGGACAGGGTAGGCTCATGCTTCATAATTCTTGCTTCACCAAATGATCTGTCATATATTCTGGGCCAGAAGGCTGAAGATGGAAACTTCAACTTTATGGAGAAACATGGGTAACTTTCCAGGCAGCCAGCTACCGCTGTCGTTTCTCTAACTGGGGTAACTGCTTCCTTTGCACTTCCTACAAACCCAGGATAGTTCTCTGATTCCTTCTCAGGTCTCTGATTGTCCGGGGGCCTTCTGGCACCTTGCTCCCCCCGGAATTTTGGCATCTGGCTTGATGGCCTACCACCTGGATACAATAGTGCATTCCTGGCTGACTTGGGGCTTTTGATAAGATCGTCTTTCTGAAATATGTTAAACCTTCCTCTCCCTCAGGGCTTCCTAAGTAACACTTCTGAGGACCTTTCCAAACAACCATTAAAACACATCTTGGTGGGCCATCCTGTGATTTCTAGTCACTTAATAATCCCGCAAAAGGCAATTACATTCCTTTCGCCCTGCCTATATAAAGGATATACTAAAAATAATAAACGGAGACTTTGTTCAGAGAAACTGTCTTGGTCTTCATTTCTTGCACCCTTCCCTTTTTCATTCCCACTCCCCCATTCAGGATCTCCAGTGACAGACCTGCAGGACGGGTCATCTGATGGGCAGACTAGATAGTAATAGTCTCACAATTAAGCTTATGTTGTTTAGCATCAAAGAAGATGTTTTAGATCTAAAAAATTGTTTTTAGTTTGGAAATACAAGTTATAATAGAAAATGGTTTATGTGCAAAACTCTATAAATTCACCAAGATAGGGGAGACCGTATTTTCTCCAAACTCACAAAATACGTATGACCTGGACATTGTGAATGTAAATCTTAACTGATTGATTCATAATTGTTTTTTATTGTGTATGGTTTCTGTTGTAAGAGAAAGGGCTTTCTTATTGGACTGAAAGGGGGAGTTATAGAAGGAATCTCTTGTGTCTGTCTAGAAGCATCACCTGTCAATCATCTGTTAACACCTGCTGCCACCTTTAGCACACCAGAAGCCATTTTGCCTCCCAGTCTCCATCTTGATTATAAGGTGAAATTAAGTTCAAGTTCTCAGGGGCTGGAGAGATGGCTCAGAGGTTAAGAACACTGGCTGCTCTTCCAAAGCTCTTGAGTTCAATTCCCAGCAACCACATGGTGGCTTACAACCATCTATAATGAGTCTGGTGCCCTCTTCTGGCGTGCAGGTGTACAGACAGGCAGAACACTGTATACATAATAAATAAATAAACCATAAAAAAAAGTTCAAGTTCTCAGGCACATAGGGCACCAGGATACAATTCAATAATTCGATACAATACTTGCTGCTTAGAATAAAACAATAGATGATAAATGGATGTTCTGCTGTGTTCCTCACTCCCACAAAGCTGGGAAGTTCCCAAGAGCTCCTCACCCCTAAATCCCAGCCAATCAGCATGAAGTGCTTTGTATAGCTACCTAGATACAATACACTTGGAACAAAATCATTTATGTTTTGGAACAAAATCAATTATGTTTAGCTAGTCAAAATGTTGTAAAACCACTGCCTCTCCCCCACTTCCTACCCCTGGTTAGCTGGTTGTTGCCTGGTTATGTGTTTTGTATAAAAATCCTGCCTTAGAAACAGATTGGCATCATAATCTGGCTCCCAAGTCTAGATTATGTCCCTGACTGGTCAGTTTTTGTTCAGGTTCATAACTTCCATCAATCTGAGTCTGGTGTTTGAGTGGTCAGTGGGCAGCTATTCCTGAACCTAAAACAGGCTTACTCTCAAACCTGTAGCAATATTGTTGCCTCAGCCTCCTGAATGTTGGAATTATAAAATTAGCCTCGGTGTTCAGCTTGAATAACTAATTCTTAAACATGTTGGTAGCGATGTAAAATTATATACCTGCTATTGAGAGCAGTGTGACACAGGGAAATGCAAACAACTTTGCTGCTGGGTTTCCATCTCTAGTCAGGAAGGCTATTACAAATAATTAACAAGAAATGCTGACAAGGATTTGGAGAAAAAGGAACCCTTATATACTATTTGTGGGAATATAAACTACTACAGATACTATGAAAGAGAGTAGGAAGATTCCTAAAAATAGAACTATCGTATGATCTAATTGGCCCACTCCTAGATATATAGCCAAATGATTGTCAGTACACTAGAGTACCTATATACCTATATTTTATTACAACACTACTCCTACAGCAGTCCAATTATGGAACCAACCCAGACACCCACCAAGACATGAGCGGATTAACATATAAGCATATAAATGGAATATTATTCTGGCATTATGAAGAACGACATTTGGAGCTAGAGATATAGTTCACTTGGTGTAGCTCATTTGGTGGAGTGGTTTTGGGTTTGATATACAAAACTGAAATATAAGGACTGCCAGGCATGGTTATTGTGGTGTTTGAATAGATGTCTCTCACAGTCTTGGGCGTTTGAACCCTTGTCTACTGTTGAGGGCTGTTTGGGGAGAACTAGGTGTTGCCTTGGTAGAGGAAGCATGTCATTGGGGGCAGGCTTTGAGGTTTCAAAAGAGTTCTACTAACTTGAGTTACTCAGGGCTGTTTGTGGTTAGAGGCATGTACTTTCAGTGGCTGGCCCAGTTTCCTGCAACCTCTGCTCTGCCATCAAGGACAGTTATCCCTCTGGAACTGTAAGCTCCAAAGAAACCCTTCCGTAAGTTGCCTTGGTCATGTGTTTTATCACAGAAACATAACGGCCAACCCATTCTGTATTCTCAGCACTTCTCCCTCATGAATTCAATTTTCTTTCTTTTTTTTTTTTTTTTTTTTTTTTTTTTTTTTTTTTTTTTTTTTTTTTGGCTTTCGAGACAGCGTTTTTCTGTGTAGCCTTGGCTGTCCTGGAACTTTCTCTGTAGACCAGGGTGGGCAAATCCAACTTTCCTAACAACCATTTAAACCCTATTGTAAATTACTCTTTGAACAATATACCTTAAAAACAGGTATCAATTAGCAACTCTTGCAAAACAAAAACAACAACAAAACGCTCCCTTGAAAAGGCCAAGAAACCCATACTCACTTGGGTTATTTATGTTACTTGGGTTATTTATATGTTACTCGTTTCCTGAGCATCTCTTTATTAACCACCGTGCTTACAACTGTTAAAACTATCTTTTTATAAAACAATTTTTTATTTTATGTGCATTACTGGTTTTTCCTGCATATATGTCTGTATGAGGGTCTGGATCTGGAGTTTCAGACAGTTGTGAGCTGTCATGTGGGTGCTGGGAATTGAACCCAGGTCTTCCGGAAGAGCAGCCAGTGCTCTTAACTTCTGAGCCATCTCTCCAGCCCCTAAAATTATCCTTTAATAAATTCTAATTTTTCTTTATATTGGTTCATCCTGAAATTCTTTTCTGCAACAAAGCCACGAATCTTCCTGAAAAGACGTCTCTAAGGGGAAAAGTCCTCAGGCTGCAGTCTGAGTTCCACACTATCCTGATTTTACAGTGTAAGACACACACACACACACACACACACACATCCGTCTCAAAACAAAAAACAAAAGCAAAGCAAGCAAGCTAACAAACAAACAAAAACCCCACGAACATGTTGCGGTTCCTAGCTTAGAAGGCGGCACATCCAAACTTTTTTGTTTTGTTTTGAGACAGCATCTTGATACTTGGCCCTGCTGCCTTTGAACTCACTCTGAAGCAATCTTCCTGGCCTCAGCTTCCCCAACATTGAAATGACAAGCAGGTGCCGCAACGCCTGGCTCAGCATCAAGTTTTCTAATTGCTTAAGAGAGTCTGTTTGCTCAGTTGGGAACCAATAAAGTTGAACATCTTCAAAGCTGGCCCACCCTCCTAGGCCCTGTTGGACCGATAGTCTTGTTAAAGAACCGGAGTAGAAACTCGCGCGCACTGCCAGGTCTCCCCGATCTCCTTAGCAGTGCAGTGGTCCCTGCTCCCGGAACTTTCCTGCTGGAGGGAGAGTGCGGCGGACATTTCCGGTGCCGCGGCACTCCGCGTGCTCCGCGCTTCCGGCGCGGCGGGGAGGGCGGCTGCGACCGGCTTCCCGGGTAACGGGGAGGCGCGTGCTGCTTGCTCGGGCAGCATGAAGCCCAGGCCTGCGGTGTTCGTAGACGGGAAGCTCAAGCAACGGGTCATTCAGGTGCGTGTGTGTCCGTGGACGCCGCGTCCCCCTTTTTCGCGCGGCTGCCTGGCCTGGCGCTTCACGCCGCCGCTGGGTCCCGGCGTGCTCTGTGAATGTCTCCACCCGGAGGCCGACGCCGGCCTGCCTTTCCCGTTGAGGGTGGGATTCCGACCTCTTCTTAAATCAGGGCCGAAAGAGTTTTCTTTCAGTGCCCTCAGCACTGAACGTTAAGTCCGTTCTCCAGAGCTTGCGGTTGCCTTAGGGAACAGGAAAACAGCCTCAGGGGCCTGGATGCTTTGCCTGTGTTTGGTTTTGTTTTTCCTTTTCATAATCCTTTTTATAATGACGTCAGTGGTGCAGTCAGCAGTACGAATTAGAGGGAGAAACCTGATTTCTGTTTGGTTTTGTTGAGACAGCGTCGTACCGCGCAGCCCTGCCGGGCCTGGAACTCCCAGAGAGCCGCCTCCTGAGTGCTGGGATTTAAGGCGTGCACCGCCGCCGCCCAGCCTGAGACTTACTCTTTACATAGAGGATGTACTCGTGTGTATCTTTGGTTACTGTTTTGAGACAGTGTCTCTTGAATGCTTTATATCCAGCGTCCTAGTTGTTACCCCTTATCAGTGACTGGACGCTGTCTGCAGCCCCAGATTTCACATTTTTTTTTAAGAGTATTTTTATTTTATAAGCACTTTATGTGAATTGATGTTTTGCCAGCATGTATGTCTGGGTGGGGTGTCGGATCCCCTGGAACTGGAATTATAGATAGTGTGAGCTGCCATGTAGATGTTGGAAATTGAACCCTGGGCTGTCTGGAAGAGCAGCCAGTGTCCTTAACTACTGAGCTATCTCTCCAGCCTAGAGGTAACGCTTTTTCCCCCCCTCCAGATTTCTTTAGTATTTTTATTTCAGAAAATGACACAACCTTCTTCATCTAGTTGTTAAAGTGTAAAGCCTCTTTTGGACTTATTCCTTTTTATTCTGTATTTAATCCCTTAATAATCTAGTTAACTATTGCAAAAACTATTGCAGGTCAAGTGTAGTATTATTTCTCTAATTTCAGCACTTGAGAATCTCAGACAGGAGAATTCGAAATTGAAGGTCAACCTAGGGTACAAATGACTGAAGAAAATAACCATACCAAACAGTAATACCTCCAGTTTACCATCTGTCCTTCCAAGTATTCATTGGCAGCCTGTTTTAAATTCTGGTAAAGCGTAGAACTGATCATGGTCTTACTTTCTGACTCCACAGATCAGCCATTGAGATTATTTTAAAGCTAAATTGGAGCTTGGCAGAGCTCTAGTCAGAATATTCAGTGGTCTTTGAAATATCTGGAATACCAACTGTATGCATTTTTTTCATGAAGGGATGATACTGGGAGATGGAACACAGGGCTTTGCATTTATTAGACGAGTGTTGTATTTCAAGACCAGCCTGGGCAACAGCAAGACCCACATCTCAAAAAAAAAAAAAAAAAAAAAAAAAAGGTGATTTAATGGTAACACTTGAATTGCCTTCAGCTGATAGTCAAACATTGCTGCTATATTTTTTGTGTTTGGGACATAGGTTGTATACTAAGCTCTCACTGCCTTAAAGATACTGAATTGTAGTGCCTTATTATGCTAATTCTCTAATTACAGATGTGGTAATTTTTTTTAAAAAGTGTGTTTGTGATACACTTTTCTATTTCGTGGTACACTTCATTGCTGAAGAACTTACATTAAGTATGTGTTGAAATAACTCAACCTCTTGTTTATTGGTTGAAATATATATTTTCTCTTTTAGTACCTCACCAGTAACAGATGTGGCAAATATGTAGACACTGGAATCTTAGCCTCTGATTTGCAAAGAATGTACAGGTAAAGAAGTATACCTCTGAATCTTTGCTTATTTTTTAAAGCGCACCCTCCCCCCTCATTTAAAATATTCCATCTTGCTTAATTTTTCAATTGATATCAGTGGCTGCTGGCATAATTTTACAATTCATAAACCTGGATCTAAATCAGTTATACAAACATCTGTAATCATGTATAATATTTGGTGTTAATTCCTTACACCAGAGGAAATGGCTACTTTTTATCTTTTCCTCTTTGACTGTCCAGGAGGTAGAGATACTGCTATATTACTTCCTTTTCTGTTCCATCAGAAAATTAAAACCATTAAGCCGTCCTCAGCTTTCAGACTCTATCAAGGAATGTGAGTCAGGTCTGATGGCTTTGTCTATAATCCCATCACCTGGAAAACTGAGGAAGGAAAATTACAGGTTGAATAAAAAGCAACAGTGAATTCTCAATCTGTAAAGTGATTGTATTTGTTAAACTATTCAAAATTAGTTTACATAAACAGCAGATGGATTACAGTTTAGATAACTAAACTCAGGTTTTTCATTGTCTGAAGGAATGGCTTAACAGTTGAAAGTCGAAGAACAGATTTTTTAGGTAGAATTGTGAGTAAGAATATCCAGGAGCTGTGTCCTTACTCACTGAATCTCTTAATGCTCTTCAGTCTTTGTTACCATATAAACTGCCCCTCACAAGTTCATAGTACCCTCTCAGTGGGTCACTGTCATTATCATTGAAAGCTACTCCTCAGACCTATTGCTCATCAAAGTCATTGAAGGATGTCTTTAGAGCATATGTTCATTTAGCCTGAACACCTTCCTTTTTTTCTTTTTAAAGACTTATTTATTATTTATACAGTGCTCTGCCTGCATGCCAGAAGAAGACACCAGATCTCATTATAGATGATTATGAGCCACCATGTGGTTGCTGGGAATTGGACTCAAGACCTTTGGAAGAACAGCCAGTGCTCTTAACCTCTGAGCCATCTCTCCAGTCTCACGCCTTCCTTTTTTTTTAAGCTGTTAATTCCCTCATTTTGTGTCAGTGGTACCTTCTTTCTCCCCCCACTCCAGGAAGCAGGTGAATTTCTTAGGAAGTTCCAAGATAGCCAGGGTTACAAGACCCTGTCTTTAGTTTGAGACAAGGGTCCCTCATCTTAGTCCCAGAGTAGCACATGACAGGTTACCAGTATAACCAATAATATTTAGTGGAAAATATTTGTGAAAACTGTGTGCTAAAATTATTTTCTTTTCCCAGTGTAGATTATGGTCGAAGAAAAAGAAATGCTTTTAGGATTCAGGTAGAAAAAGGTAAGTCTTTCACCGTTTGAGTAGAATTATCAACAGTTGCAGAAATAATTATTTTAGCTCATGGCATTTTGTTATTTATTTCAGTATTTAGTATAATTAGTAGTGAGAAAGAACTTAAGAATCTTAAAGAACTAGAAGATGAACATCTGGCAAAAAGAGCAAGACAAGATGAAGAAGATGAGTAAGTACTGTAAAGCATTTTTTCTAAAGTCCAACATTCATACTTAGAGAATTGCCAGTGCCTCCTTTTGGCCAACAATACAGTTGTTGTACCTGAACATTTTCCTACTTTACTTTGTTGTTTCCTACAGCCATATTGATTGTTCTCTAGTCCCTAAAGACATTTAGTAACTTGACTATTCATTTCTATTTCACAAATCTCACTCAGCCATGTGAAAAAGTCAGGGTAGATGTCAGTCTTTCTTGGGCCTTCTTGGGTCCCTTGTGAGTGTTTTCTTATGATCTAGTTATAGAAAAATACTGTAATCTTAGTATCATGTGGCATTGAACATGTGGTTACTGTTTTATATTACCAACACAGTTGTCTCATTATCTTCTTATTCTTTGCTTTACCATAATGCCAGGTATATTAAAAAGATGACAGTAAATTTTGATGTTTAAATATGTTATGGCTGGAGCACTCACATTAAAAATGCAAACATTTTTTCACCTGGAGTGATGGCTCAGTTCTTCCAGAGCAAGCAAGTTTGGTCCCAGCACTTACATAGCCACTCACAGCTGTCTGTTACTACAGTTCCGGTGGATCCACACCCACTTGGCTTCTTCGGGCACTGCACGCACATGGTGTACTACATCCATGCAGGCAATAAACCTATAAACACACACAGAAAAAACACCTCAATGAGACATTCCTTATTATTTGATAGATAAGGGACATGGCACTCAGAGGCACTAACCACCGGGTTCTAAGTAGTTAAAATGGATTTCTAGTTTACTTTAGTTTTGTTTAGCTTTGAGACAGTCTCTCTGTAGTCCTGGTTGTCCTTGAACTCTCTGTGTAGATCAGGCTGGCCTCAACTCACAGAGATCAGCCTTTCCATGCTCCTCAAATTCTGGGAGTAAAGGCTTCCGTAACCAAGCCTGGCTGTTTAAAGTTTAAAATTTAGTAGTGTATTTTGATCACCCTAGATTATCCCCACCTCCTTACCCACCCAACTTCGTGATCCCTTTCTCTCTCCCTCTCAAACATAAAATGAAAATCAAAATAAACAAAAAGCTAATAAGACAAAAAACAAAACAAAAAAACAAACCAAAACAAAAGGGCCACAGAGAAACTTTGGAGTTGTTTGTGTTCGCCAGCTAACTACTCCCAAATAAGGGGCTTTCCTCAGAGTGTGGTTAATCTATCCAGTGACCTCCACGGAGGAAAGGATGGCTTGTGTTCACTTGCCCCTCTCAGTGCTAGGTGTGTCTGCTTTGAGCCTGTGCAGGTCCTGTGTGTGCTGCCGCAGTCTCTGCGTTTACATGTGCATTAGTCCTGCCGAGTCTGCAAGACACTGTTTCTTTGGAGCCATCTGCCACCTCTGGCTCTTGCAGTCTTTTGCCTCCTCTTCTGGGTAAATCTCTGATCCTGAGGGAAGCTTGGTGAAGACAGTCCATTTAAAACTGAATACTTAAATTCTCTCAACACTGCGCATGATCCAGTTGTGAGTCTCTATTAATTCCCATTTCTATACAAAGAAGCATCTCTGATGATGGGTGAGCAATACACTGACGTGAGTGTGTGTCCCCGTGTGTCCTCGCCTTTGGAGGCCAGAATAGGGCATCATGCCCCTTGTGAGCTGGAGGTCATTGTGATAGGACCCACCCTTGGTCTTCTGTAAGAGCAGCAAGTGCTTGTAATTGCTGAGCTGTTTCTCCAGCTCTCAGCCCCAGGACTCTTAATCATCATGTTTTTGCCTTAGCATACTGACTTGTTTGGGATAGTAGTATTTTAGGTTATCAGAGAAAAGGCTTTGAAATGTTTTTTTACTCTCTTTAATATTGAGGTACACTGAAAGCTCTTCTGATGATGATTCAAACATGGACGATTACCCAGATCCACAGGTAAGCAAAACATGCAAAAAGCCCACTTTGATTTCTTTCTTTCTTTTAAAGATTCATTTATTTTCATTTTATGTGTATGACTGTTTTACCTGCATGTATGCATATGCACCATATGTGTGTCTGGTGCCTGAGGTCAGAAGAGGCCGTACCTTGGAACTAGAGTTGGGAGCCATCATGGGGGTTCTGGGAACTGAACTTGGGTCCTCTGCAAGAGCAGCCAGTGTTCTTAACAGCTGAGCCATCTCTTCAGCCTAATTTTTCTCCCTTTACTCATTGTGATCCTTTTTTAGAAAAGAAGCCAAAAATAGAATAAAGGACCTTGTCCATCTTTATCAATACATAATTGAATGCTTCCTATACGCACCAGTGAAGGTTTAATCACCCTTCCAGTACTTACATTTGATAATCAGTTATATAATGGAAAAGCCAAATAGCCAAAACTAAAGGCAGATTAAAATACTGCATTGTTTTTGTTTTTCGAGACAGTGTTTGTCTGCGTAGCCTTGGCTGGCCTAAACTCACACTGTAGACCAGGCTGGCCTTAGACTCATAGAGCTCAGCCTGCCTCTGCCTCCCCTCCTAGAGTGATGGGATTACAGGCATGCACCATCATGCTTCGCCAGATTAGAATATTAAGGGAAATAATAATAAAAAAATTCATCAGGTCTGTGTGACTTAATCTCAGCATTTGGGAGGCAGAGGCAGGCAGATGTCTGAGTACTAGGCCATCCTGTTCTATGTAGCAAGCTCCAGGTCAGCTAGACCTATATAATGAGATGTTTCAAACAAAAAAGGGAGGAGATGGACATGCTTTTCTGCCAGGGAGACAGCATTACTGATGACAGGCCTAACTACAATGATAAATCAAAATGCACCAAGGTACTTGGTTCTTCTTAGCTTTTCCTCCTTGGTAAATGAAGCTTTGAATTTATGGTTATAGTACTCCATTATATTTGATCCAGTAGTGAATTGATGAGATAGTGCTGACTCATGATAACAGTTCATTTTTCATATCTCTTCATTTTATTTAATCACCAACTTTGAATTGGGCTGGTTTTCTGTTGACTTAGAGTAGTTACAGTGTTTTGGATAGTAAAAGTTTGGGAGTTTCCTAATCGATAACTTGTGTATTCTGGTTGTAAATGTTGTGAGAAAAGTTGTTTAAAGCAAAATACACAAAGCTTTTTAGTTTAGGTACTGGAGTTTTAAGACTTACTGAGTAACTTACACTGAAATCATGTTTCTGCCAGTCAGCAAATCACATGAACAGTTCCCTGCTCTCTTTGTATCGGAAAGGAAACTCTGAATCTGTTTCAACCACTCCGAAGCTAGAACAGAGAGAAGCTGCCACTTCAACACCGTTGCTGACTTCTAAAGTGGGCTCCATGCCAGTGAAGACCCCTGCCCGCGAGTCTGAGGGAGGATGGTTTATTGACAAAACCTCAGGTGGAAAGAAAGAAAGTCTTACCTTGGACCTATCAGATGACCAAAGCAACTATAAAAAGCCAGATTTTGAGATACAGGTATTTTTATACTGAAAGTTTAGTTCGTGTAGTTGAAGTATATTACAATCTCTTCAATCAAGCATATCCTTATGTTTTGTTTTTAAAAATCATAAGTACTTTGAAATACACAGTTAGCTTCTGTAAAAGTAATTTTTGTTCACTTGATTTAACTGTCGTCTTGGAAGCTTACTGCCTCTGTCTGCTAACCTAAGCCTCATCCTGGAAGCTTCTAGCCTCCATACAATCTAATCTATGCCTAGAATGCTTTCAGCCTTTGAGGTTTATTGCTGAATAAGCTCACCCTTTCTAGCTCTTTCTGAACTCTTGCTGTCTGGTTCAATTCAGCTATTCTAGCTCAAACTTCTCTCCAAGCTGACTGATTAAAACTGACTTCTCTCCCAGCCTCTGACTGAATTGCTCTGTGTGGCTTCATACTAACTTTGACAATATGTTCTAATCTCTGTTTTTTTTAAATTTATTTTAATTTATTTATTTTAATTATTTATTTTTTAAATATGTTCTAATCTTTTGGTTCCTTCTCATTTTCTGGCTTGTTTTCTTCACCTGTGTCTAGCTTGTTCTTCCCTCAACCTGTCTCTGTAAAAGTCCTGGTAAAACTGCCTCTGAATTTCACAATCTGAACTCCACAAACTGAACTCCACTGCACTGCCTCTCAACTCACTGATTCAACCAAACTGATTGAACAGAACTCAGTAATCTGCTTGCTTCTGTCTTTTGAGTGCTGGCATTAAAGATGTGTACCACCATGCCTGGATCTAAGCTTTTCTTTATCTGAAACCTACCCGGTACCAGGCTGACCTTGATTCAGAGATCTCGTTGCCTCTGCCTCCTTGGGTTAAAGGCGTGTCTGCCTTCTAGTTGGTTCACGCTGATTTAGAAGGTTATTGGATGTGATCTCTTGCCACAGCAGCCATGTTCTGAATTAAAATTCCTCTACAAATTGCATCACTTTTGACTACTTCTGTCATTTCTTATCTTAGTCCAGGATCTTTATTGCCTTAACTATTGAATAGATTTCTAAGTGTAATCTGTGTCTTTTTACTCTACTCTATGTTTCACATACAATATTTTTCCATGAATTTTTGGGTCACTGCCGTTCGTGTCAGGCTTTTAATGCAGTGGGAAATGCCCAAGAAATAGTTTAAAGGAGGAAAAACCTATTTGAAGTAGTGTTGCTCCTAGGCCAGAGGAAAGGTGTAGCAGCATGGTGAAAAGAGGAAAGCAGAGCAGAGTTACTCACCTCATTAAACCAGTAAGGAGTGATAGGAAAGGAACACAATTCCAGAATCTACTTCCGTGACATCCACCATTCTCCCGTGACCCTTTTCTTCCAGTTTGGTTCCACCTCCTAATAACTGTTCAGCTATGAACTCAAATGGATCAGTCATTCTATTGATGAAACTAATACCCTCATGATCCAGTCTGGGGACCAACTCTTCAGCATATGAGCTGTGGGATACTTCATACCCAAACCATAGTACCATTCTGTTTGTAATCTTTAGTGCCTTCATTCAGTCTCGGATCAAAAGCCACAAAGCCCGGTATGATTTGGTTACCCTGCTGTTCCTTGATGTCATTGTTTGTCTCCCCACCCCTCCTCCTCTTCAGTGACAACAAGTTTGTGCTGTTTTAGAGCACTAAGCTCTCTCACTTGGGGTCTGAGCACTTGAACTTTCTAGCTGGAGCATGTTCTCCAGACTTCACATCTCCTTAGAAAACCTTTGAGACCATGCAAAGTTAAATTGTGATGTGCCGGCTTTTTTCCTAAATCTTCCTCACTAGCTTATTAGGTCACCTAGCTTATTAAGTAGATGTTTCTTTCTTTTTTTTTCAAACCTCAACTCTTTGTTTTAAACTCCAGGAGAGCAAGGACTTTTTTTTTTTTTTTTTTTTAAGATAATCAACCTTTGTTTTGTTTTTAGATTTATTTATTTATTTATTTATTATATATATTCTGTCTGTATGTAGACCTGCATGCCAGAAGAGGGCACCAGATCTCATTATAGATGGTTGTGAGCCACCATGTGTTTGCTGGGAATTGAACTCATGACCTCTAGAAGAGCAACCAGTGCTCTTAACCTCTGAGCCATCTCTCCAGCCTAACAGCAAGGACTTTGTTTTTTTTAATAATGGTTTCCTGGCTGAAGTTTGTCTAGCACAGGGTAGACATTTGTTGCATTTGTAGTGCCAGATGAACTTGTGGAGACACAATTGTTTAGGAGTTTATCCTCCTTGGGGATAGAATTGATAGCTTCAGTTCTTGAAAAAGGATAGCTGCTGAAACAGCAAGGCAGTTTGTGTCCAGTGAGAATAATACCATAATACCGTAAGAAAGAAATTGTGTCTATCCTCCTTGGGGATAGAATTGATAGCTTCAGTTCTTGAAAAAAGGATAGCTGCTGAAACAGCAAGGCAGTTTGTGTCCAGTGAGAATAATACCGTAAGAAAGAAATTGTGTAGAATAGGCAAATACCTTTATATATATATATATATATAAAAGACCTTTTAAAATTGAAATTAGTTATTTGCTGCAAAACTGTATCAGTTGGGAGATTGAGGCAAAGGCTTAGAGGATCAAGGTTATCTACTTCTCCATAGCAAGTCCAAGGTCAGCCTGCGCTATATGAGATCCTGTCTCAAAAACTCAAAAATGGAGCTTGGGAAATGGTTAAGTTATTAAGTGCATATGATGAGAGCATGGAGACTGGAGTTCAGTCTCTACCATCCATATGAAAGCTGCTTGCAATAGCACAGTTCTGTATACTCGATGCTGAGCAAATAGAGACAGGAAGGACTCTTTGTTTTTTTGTTTTTGCTTGTTTGTTTGTTTTGGTGCCTTTCCTTGAGATCTTACTTGTCATTTCCATTCTAGGCCCAGCTATAAAAAAGAGGGGTTCCAGGTCCCAGTTCCCAGGCCAAATGGAACTGAAGACCTGGAGGACAAGGGGCTGCTAGGCTCAACATAGATTCCTAATCTTCAGGGCTAAGATTGGCCCAGGTTAATGAACCACTGGGAGGACTGGCAGGGCTCAAAGTCTAGCCCTAAATAGAAGGGCCTGAGAGGAGGCTGCAGGCAATGCCCAGGTAGGTAGAAGGCTCAACTCCTGTCACCTGTTACTACAGACTGGCATAGGCATCAACCCCTAGAACAGAGATTCTCAACCCTCAAACCTTTGGGGATCTAATGACTTTCATAGGGTTTGCCTAAGACCATCAGAAAACACGGATATATAAAATTCGAAACTACAGTTATGAATTAGCAATGAAAATAATTTCATGGTTGGGGGGTCACTAAAACATAGGAGTTGTGTTAAAGGGCCACACCATTAAGAAGGTTGAGAACTACTGCTCTAGAACCACTGTAGGCTACCCTCTACCCACTAATGAGCACACAAACCCTGTAGAGGAGTATTAATTCAGAACATGGCTGTTCTGTGAAGAAATCACAGCCAAAGACCTAAGGTCTGTATTCCAACTGGAATACAAACACATCTTTAGTCCAGGAGACAGAGGCAAACAGAAACTTGTCTAAAGTAGAGCATGTTTCAGGTAAAGAAAAGCTAAGGTCCACGTGTGGTGGTACATGCCTTTAATCCCAAAGAGGGAGCTAAAGTTTGTGTGTAGAAGGAAGCACCCATGTTTGAAATTGATGTCTAATTGAGTAGCAGAAATAGTGACGAATCAGAGAAAAGCTTGACAAAATAGGATATGCCCAACTCTCACAAGAAGAGAGAGGAAAGAGAAGCTACTTAAGGGACAGTACAGAGAGAGAGGGGGCAGTTTTACTGGGATAGTAATAGACAGGTTGCAGAGAGAGAACTGAGGTGAAGACCAAATGAGCCAGAGAATGAGAAGGAGCCAGGAGATTAGAGCAGATTGCTTGAGTTAGTTTGAGGCGAAGTAGAGCAATTCAGAGGCCAAGAGAAAAGCTAGATTGTATAAGTCAGTTGGGAGAGGAGTTTGAGACAACATCTGAGTTGAACCAGACCTCAGTAAGAACAAGAAAGGGTGAGCTTATTCAGCTGTAAGTCTCAGACTGAAAACGCTCTAAGCCTGGATTAGATTATACGGACGCTAGGATCTTTCATGACCAGGCGTAGCTTAGCAAAGGAGGTAGTAAGCCTCCCAGACAACAACTGAAACAGGCAAATAAAAGTTCCTTTTACAAAACCCAGCTTTCCCCACCCACCAGGGGAGGCCAGTCCCATCAGACATCCCTTAGGCCCAGCCAGCTCCTGCTTGGTATATATGCTCCAGTTCTTTCCCCTTGGGGTTTCTTAGCCAGTTAATTTAGCCAAATGGGCCAACTGCAGCTTTAGTGAGAGATCCTGTCTCAGAAAATAAAGAGGAGTGAGGTTTAGTGGCTGGCGCATGCCTTTAATCTCAGCACTGGGGAGACTGAAACCAGTGGATCTCTTTGAGCTCAAGGCTAGCATGCATGGTCTACAGGTCTACATAGTTTCCAGACCCCCAGTCTACGTAGAGAGATCCTGTCTCAAAGTATAAAGGAAAAAGGTGGAAAATAATTGACGAACACACTAGATGTTGACCTTTGTTCTTCACACTCGTACATATACATAACACAAATATGACTCAACAGATGTACGTAAACATATATGGACATTTGCTATCTTCCTTAACTGATTATTCTAAAGTAAATTCATAGCCAAGCAAATGAGGCTTTCTGCTAATTTACCCCATTGTACATTGACAGGTTATCTAACTCCAGACTGTCTCGAGGCACCAGCACCCAAGTAATGACACGGAGACTTTTTATTTATATATAAAACCTGGCCTTAGGTTAGCTTATACAACTTCTTTAAAAAGAAAAATTATTCTTTTTTTCTTTTTTTTTTTTTTTTTTTTTTTTTTTGAAGATTTATTATTTATACAACATTCTGCCTGCACACAAGATCTTACTATAGATGTTTATGTGCCACCATGTGGTTGCTGGGAATTGAACTCAGGACCTTTGGAAGAACAGCAAGTGCTCTTAACCTCTGAGCCATCTTTCCAGCCCTCATTTTTTGATTTTATGTGCCTGGATGTATATCTGTGTGAGGGTGTCAGATCTTGGAGTTACAGACAGTGGGTGCTAGGAATTGAACCCTGCTCCTCTAGAAGAACAGTCAGTGCTCTTAACTACTGAGTCATCTCTTCAGCTCCAGCTGTTATAGCTCAAATTAACCTGTTTATACTAATCTACATTCTCCCATGTAACTTGTTAACTGTTTTCAGTCCTGGCACCTGTTCCTTCATGTCTGGCTGTCCAATCTCCTGTCCTTGATTCTTTACCTGAGTTCCTGTCTCTGCCCAGAAGTCCTGTCTATCTTCTCCTGCCTTGCTCCAGGCTGTTCAACTCTTCACTAAATCAATCAGAAGGTGAAGGAGAAGAATGTGTACAAAATATGATGCAGCCATAAGAATAACAATAGCAGAGTTGCTGGTACAGAAGGACAACTTTACACAGTGCATAAAAAGAACATTCCAACACAGGTATCCTGTAGGGCTCTCCTGTGTGGTAAGTGCTGGCCACATGTGGTTTCATAGTACTTGAACTGTGGCTGGTGCAGCTAAGGAATTGTGTTTTTCATTTAAATGTGAAGTCAATACTTGGTTTTTGAAAAACCTTGAAATAGGAGGCTGGAGAGATGGCTCACCGGTTGAGAGCACTGACTTCTCTTTCAGAGGTCCTGAGTTCAATTCCCAGCAATTGCATGGTGGCTCACAACCATCTGCAATGGAATCTGATTTGTTCTTCTGGTATGCATGAAAACAGAGTGCCCATATACATAAAATAAATAAATAAATCTTAAAAAAAAAAAAAAAAAGGAAAAACCTTGAAATATATTTGAAACAACCAGATATGGGGACCAACCTTTTCATGTATGAATTTTCCAAAGTCCAGATAAAGTACTACCCTTTAAAATTTTGTATCCAAATTGGGATGTGTTATGAATTTTCAGTATACTTTAGCATCTGAAGACTTAACTAAAAAGCACAATATAAAATCTTAGTGCTGGGCAGTGGTGACACACACCTTTAACCCTAGCACTCAAGAGGCAGAGGCAGGCAGATCTTTCTGAGTTTGAGGCCAGCCTGGTCTTTTACAGAGCTAGTTCTAGGACAGACAAGGCTACACAGAGAAATCCTGTCTCAACCAACCAACTTACCCACCAACCAACAACCAAAGAAACCTCATTAGTAACTTGTTTTGAGACAGGATTTCTCTTTATATTGTTCTGGTTGCCCTAGAACTTGCTCTGTAGACTAAGCTGCCCTTAAATTTGAGGCAGTCCTACTTGTGTCTTCTGAGTGCTGAGATTCTAAGTGTGCATCTCTATACCTAGCTCTTTACTAACTTTTCTAAACTGTTGAATGGTGAGTGTTTGTGATGTGTTACTTAAAAGGGAGTATGGCTCAGTGGTACATTTAGTGTTTAGTATATGTAAGGCCCTGGGTTCAATAGTCAGTCCCCAAGAAAAATGAAATGCATTTTGTTCTTTACGTTTAAGTGGTTATTAGAGTATGTGTGGCTTGTATTGTATTTCTCTTGAACAGTGCTGCTATAATTAGTTTCTAAGCACTGAGCCTTGATTTGACAAATTTTTTCATGAGTGCATGTGTGTTTGGAGGGTGTGTGTGTTGTGTGTGCGTATGTGTGTCTGTTTGCGCATAGTTGTGTGCAAATGCATGTGTGGGGTAATATACCAGAGATGAATGTCAGATGTCTTTTTTCAATTGCTTTCTATCTTTTCTTTGAGAAAGAAGAGTCAGCTGGGTAATGCTGACTGATTTTCAAGGCCATCCTGGTCCACAGAGTGAGTTGTAACCAGGACTATCCAGAGAAACCCTGTCTCAAAACAAAACAATAGAACAAACACATACACGGAGGGGCGTGTCTGTGGTTTCAAAGTATCTCACTAAATCTCAGCTATACTGGCTGACCAGCAAGCTCTAGGGAGTCTCTTGTCTTCTCCCCAGCACTGGCATTGCAGACCCACCCCATTACACACAGCTTTTTAGTGGGGTGGGGCTTGGGGGTTCTAAACTCAGTGCTCATGATTTTATCATAAAGATTTTACAAACTGTTTTGATTTTGGATTTTGAAATAGGGTCTCTTGTAGCCTAGTCCATCCTTGAAATTGCCATGTAGCTAAGAATGCCCTTAACTTCTGGTTTTACTCCCAAAGTGTTGGAGTTACGGGTTTTCCTTTTACGTTATTAATGGGCCTTTGTCTAGTGGGTCTTTCTTGGACCTGCCAGCAGATGAATGAAGACATTGTTATTATTTATAATTATAATTGTAATTATTTATAATTTAGGCATTAGAGATGGGCAGATTCTCAGATATTCTAACCTGACAAATCCTGGCCTACATCCTATTACCTCTCTCTCTCTCTCAGTTCCTGCATCTGTTCCTTCCCATGTTGCTCCTGCAAATCCCTGCATTTGGTTCTTATCCTCAAGATCCTCTCTTAGCCCAGAAGTCCCTCCTTTTTTTCTCCTGCCTTTCAGCTGCAGTTCTTTATTAAGCCAATCAAAAAGTGAGAGGAAGAGTGTTTACAAAATATGAGGCAGGTGGTAAGACATAAGAATAACAATAATCTGCACAGTACTCAGCTTTCTGCCTGTTTAGCAATCAGTGATTGCATATACAAAGACACCCATGACAGTATCCAAAAGATTACCCCAACTCCTTTTCCCAAATGCCTTTGCTTTAAGCTGTAACTATTCATCAATGGAGAACATTATTACAGTTGATAAGAACCTGATGTTAATCTGCCTTAATTCAGATTAAGTTTAACTGGTCAATTGGCGGAGCCTAGAAAGAAAGTTAGTAAATTTTAAGATTTAATCTATGCATTTAGGTTTCTGAAAGAAGGGAGCATCTTTGAGCAAAGATGTTAGCAGTAGTTAGCAGTGCTGCAGCACAAATGGATCTGTGTATCTATATATTCCTGTCTTTGAAAACTATCTATTAGCATTGTAATTGAAGTACAGCATATTTAAATTTTATTTTCTCTCCAGAATTTAAAAGATTCTTCTCTTCTGGAAAGTGATAAGAAAAGGAAAGGTAGGCCAAAGAGCAAAAGAAACAAAAGAAAGACAGAGGATCTTCAAGAAGTAGATGGAGAAATACAAGCTATTCTGCAAAAGAAAGGTGAGCTGTGAGCTGCAATGGTGTGTTTGCTCTGAGAGAAGAGGGATCACTGTTGTAAATTGTTTTGCTTGAGAACTATTTGTGTGCGGAAATAGCCAGTTGAAAACATTTGTTATCTAATGGAGCTTTAGTTGTATGTTTGTATGGAATCACTCATCTTTCCATCTTTTTTTTTTCAGCTAAAGTAAGAAGTACAGAGTTGCAGATTTCCAGTGTGAAGTTTGAAGATATTGGAGGCAATGATGCAACATTAAAAGTTAGTGCCAATTGAGAAATGCCATTACATGAAATGGGTATATTGTTAAACATCTATACAAGCCTACCTGTTTGTACTTTAAATTAAAAAGTTACTTTATGTATAGAGGTGTTCTGCTTACATGCAAGTCTGTGTACAACCTACATGCCTGGTGCCCTCAGAGGCTGGAAGGGGTTGCTAGATTCAGACAGTTACAGATAGTTGTGAGCTACCATGTAGGTGCTGGGAAAGGAACCCAGGTCCTCTTCAAGAGCAGCCAGTGTTCTTAACCACTGGCCCTTCTTTCCAGCACTTTTGGTTCTTAATGTGAAGTAAGTATAGAAAAGACTGGGAAGGTGAGATTGGCAAACATGATCCTTAGGGTTCCAAAGAGAAATGAAGTTTCCTGTCTTCATATTTTTTAGTTCCAGTGTATGTGGAGTAAGTACATGCTTTATAAGTTGCACTGATGATAGTGCACTGACAGCGCTGATGATAGTGGCTACAGGTTTTTAGTGTCTCCTCTGTTACAGTCACTAAGTTAATTACTTTTCATGGTATTTTATGAGATAGATATTTCCAGCATAGGAAATAGAAGCATGTCGATACTGAAGTTATTTGCAGGTATACTAAAAGCTGGGATTCAAGCTCAAGTTCCAGCCTAAAGTGTGTTCTAACTGCTATATTTTGGTGTTCCAAAAAGGGGACATTTCATTCTGCTTTGACTTTCTTTCTTGGGCTGAGGAAGACATCTTTTTTGTTTAATCCTTGACAGGAAGTCTGCAAGATGCTCATACACATGCGCCACCCAGAAGTGTACCAGCACCTTGGTGTCGTGCCCCCTCGCGGCGTTCTCCTGCATGGGCCACCAGGCTGTGGGAAGACATTACTTGCACATGCAATAGCTGGGGTAAGGCTACTCGGTGCTGGGCTTTGATTTTTGTTGTTTGCTTTTACCTTTGGTCAATTTCAACTTCAGTTAAACCTGTTATCTCCTTAGAAAGCAAGTTTGACCAGTAAGAAATATCCCTTCCTTCTCCTCTCTCTTTCTTCCTCCCCCATCATCATCCTTCCGTCTTTTGTTGTTGTTTTGAGACAGGGTTTCTTACTGAGCCTGGATCTTAAGTGATTTAACTAGAATGTGTAGCCAGCAAATTCCAGGGATCATCCTTTACCCTGCTCATTCTGGGGTTGCAGACGGGGAGCACCACTGGCTGGCTTACATCAGTGCTGTAGTCCAAACTCTGGTTCTCATGCTGCAAGCACTTTACAGACTGAGCCTTCCCTAGCCCCAACTTTCCTTTGTTTACCTTTTTCATGCTGCTACTTATGCTGGGTTTTTATTTTTAATTTTTAATGAATGCAGTTATTGTGTCTGACAAAAATTGGGTGAGGAGCAAAACATAACTGTAAAAACTCTAAACACTTAGTTTACATTTTATTTACTTTTCTTCCCCTTTATCCTAGTCGTTCTTAAAATCGGCAAAATAGGAAAATACTATTTTTTTTTTCTTGGAGCTAAATTAATTTAAAATTTCAATTGTTATAATGCCCTATTTAAATAGTTTTAAAAGGTCACTTAGGCATGCATGGCAGTATACACTTGAAATTCCAGGTGGGAAATTCATGTGCTTAAGGCAGGATTGCAAGTTTAAAGCTAGCCTAGGCTTAAACTTTGTATAGTGTAATTCACTGTGTTGTCAGATACGCATGTTTCTAAAACTTCTCAAATGCAGTGTATCTAATGCAATATATCAACCCCACCCACCCCTGCACTCGCAAAAAGAGATTTCTTTTGCAAAATAAAAAGCTAGCACTCCCAACTTTGTCCTATCAAGTTTTTCAGAATCTTATTTCATGATACAGTATAACATAGTTCAAGGAACTTCAGTTAGCAGAACAAGTATATTCTAGTCATTCATAGAGCAAGCGCTCAGTTTTTAAAGTGAACTTGCTTTGTTATTTTAAAAATAAATTTATTTTATGGCCACTGCATAGCAGACCTCAGGACCTGTTTGCATATATGTGTTTGAGTAAAGCCTTAGGTTTCGTTAAAGAAAGGGTCTCACCCTGTTAACCCACACAGCATTGAACTCAGAGTCTCCCAAGTGCTAAACATTACAGGTGGAATGCATTGCAATTACTGGTTAGATCTATAGACTTTTTTGTTTTTTGGTTTTGTTTTTCATTTGTTTGCTTATTTGAGATAGCATTTCTCTGGCTGTCCTGGAATTCACTCTGTAGACCAGGCTGGCCTCAAACTCAGAGATCTACCAGCCTCTCCCTTCTGAGTGCTGGGATCAAAGGTACACGCTACAACCACCACCCAGCTGACTTTTTGTTTTGTTTTGTTTTGTGAATATTTTGCCTGCATGTATGTCTATGCACCATGTGTGTGTCTGGTGTCCATGGAAGGCAGGAGAGGGCATGGCATCCCCTGGAGCTGGAGTTACAGATAGTTGTAAATTGCCATGTGGGTAATCTTAGCTGCTGAGCCATTTGTCCATACTTTTTAAGTAGCATTTACCATTGGGCCCATACAGAGAAATCAGGAAATTTAGGAAGTCAGGAAATTGTGGAGGCTGGAAAGATGGCTCAGTGGGTAAAGGTGCTTTCCACCATTCTTGATGTTCCTATGTTGAAACCAGAAAGAAACAAGGTAGAAGCAGAGAACCAACTTTTACAAGCTGTCCTCTGACCTCCACTGTGCACAGTGGCCCACACATGCGTGTGCGTGTGCATGAATGGGCACACACTAACTGAAAACCCATTTTGACGGGAGAGACTGTAGAAGGAAAACGTAGGGAAGTTAAATGTTGTTTAATGTTCGGTCATTCTTTTCTGTATTTGTACACAGGAACTCGACCTGCCGATTTTGAAAGTGGCTGCTCCAGAGATTGTGTCAGGAGTTTCTGGAGAGTCTGAGCAAAAGCTCAGAGATTTATTTGACCAAGCTGTGGTGAGTCAGCTCTTGCCTATGACAACTCGTCACATGCTGCAGTTTTCAGTAGAGACTGCGTTTCTGGTGCTGGTATTTTTTATCCCACTCACTGACCTTCCTTTTGTAAAAATTTAAAGTGGATTGAATGATACAGCCTCTTGGGTAAGTAATCTGTTTCATATGAAACAAACCTAAGGTAATTAGTGACACACTTTGAGCTGTTGTACCCAGGAGTTAAAAATGTTCAAAACATACTGACCTTAAGATAGTTTATTCACTTTGTTTCTCCAGCTTATGTTTACTAAACAACTTGAAAACAATATAATAGTTAATCATATTTAGGGTTATGCACACACTGTGAAACTCAAGGACAGAATCCAGCATGGTGGCACATGACTCTAATTCCAGGGCTCAGGGAGGCGTTGGCAGGCAGATTGCTGTGAGCTGGAGGTCTACAGGGCACCCACGGCTGCTAAATAAAAACCAAAAACAACCAAAAAAAAAAAAAAAAAAAAACAAAAACCCCAACCCTCAAGGACAAATGCTGTTTATATGATTAGAAGTGTGAGAAGAAAATTCTTATCAGAGAGAGATTAAACCTAACTACAGTTTCTGTATTAAAGTTTAGAAGAGGATATGTGGATCTTGTTCAAGTTCTATCTTCAGCACAGTATGGTGGGTAAATGCCTGTATTCTCATAGAGAAATGTTGTAGTAAATTAAAATTGAGTATTGGACTATATAAGGTTTATATTAGCCCTAAGATTATCGTGGCAGTATTATTTAACCTGCTGTCACAAATAACAAGATACAGATACCTGTTAGATTTATAATTGCCTTATTTACCTTAGGCTGGGCAGATATTTCACTTACACTGTCTCAATATCTTCACCATCTATCTCCCAGTCCCCATCCAATGCCATCCGCTTTAATCCTCAACTGAACTATCTTTCATCCATAATTCCATGGTACTTGCTTATATTCCTCATCTGGGTCTTTTCACACTATTACTGGAGTTCTTTCTCCTTGGCTCGTGTGGTTTTTTTTTTTTTTTTTTCCTCCACCCTAACTTATTGTGGCATCCTCCTTCCTCCTCTCTTTCATTCTCAGGTGATTCTCTCTGTCTTCTCCAAGCCCAGGAACCTTAGCTACACCTACCCCTTTCTGCCTGCCCAGGTATAGGCTGTTTAATTAGCCAGTCAGGTAGGTTTACACAACATGTTTAGATGTACCCAGATCTTGAGGGCTAGTAACATGTCTCAGACCAACCTTCAACAAGAAAGATGAAAACCAATTCAGTGTCTTCACATAACATTAGGGAAGAGACCTATCCATCTACTCTGTCTCCTAGTAACCTGGAATGCTAACAGCACCCAGTTCTCATGGGGCTTTGAGTGTTTAAATCAGAAGATGCATTTATTTTCAGATGGTGTGTTGCTATTTTGTCTGGCCTGGCCTTAAATTCCTGGCCAACCAGCCTTAAATTCCTGGCCAGCCAGCCTTCCAACCTCAGCCTCCCAAGTGCTGTGATACAGGGATGCACCACAAGGCCCAGTTGAAAGTGTTCTTAAAAAACCTTTAATTATGTGTAGTACATAGCAAGAGTCTTGTAAATCATGACATGTGCATTTTAGCAGACATGAATCACCTCTGTAACTAAAACTAACATGATGAAAAGTTTTAATGTTTCTTTCCCCACCTACCCCTTTCAGACAGGGTCTTATGTAACCGAGTGTGGTCTCAAACTCCTTATGTAGCTGAGGTTGACTTTGAACTTCTGATCCTTTTATTTCCACTCAAGTGTTGAAATTACAGTTGTGTGCTACCACACTGGATTTAATTTTATGTCTTTATTTGTAGCTAAAGCATATAGTGTCTCATAAACAGACCATTGTAACTACCAGAAGCTGATATGAAATTAGGAGAGAAATGTATTTTAGCAGCAATAATAATAAGTAATTATATATATTTGTACTAATAAATACTTAGTATAAATTATAAGAGCAATTCATTAATTTTTGAAAGAGTCTTACTGTGTAGTCCTTGCTAGCCTAGAACACATTGTACAGATCAGGCTGGCCTGAGCTTAACAGAACCTGCCTCTGTCTTACTCTGTTGTGTCATTATGTCTAGCAAAAAAGATGGGAAGAAGTAGAGGCTGGCTGCTAAGTTTGTTACACAGACTGGCATGTTGTGTAACAGTCATCACCACCCACCTCTAGAGCTTATTCTTCTTCCCCAGGTGAAGCTGTAGCTGGTACACAGGAACTCCCCATTCCACCCTCTCCCTGTCTCTAGCATCCACTATCCACTACTTTATGCCTTGGAGAATTTGGCTGTAGTAAGTGGCTGATCTTTATTTTGAACATTCTGTCTAAACTCTAGTGTCTAGTTTATTTTTATGTATAAAAAAATAACGATCTGGGGGCTAGAGAGATAGATCAGTGGTTAAGGGCACTTACTGCTCTTGTAGAGACCTGGATTTGGTTCCTAGCACTCACATGGTGGTTCACAACCATCTATAGCTCCAGTTCTAGAGCATTTTATATAATCATTTTGCCTATGCTGGCACCAGGGGGTCCATGTGGTACAAAAACATGTATACAGACAAAACACTGAAATACTAAAAATATTTTTTTAAGTAACATGAATTTTAAAAACTTGAGCAACAACAACAACAAAACACCCAAAACGTTCTGATCATGAGTTAACTGAAAGATTTAAATGTCTTATCCTTGCTAGGATGTCCCTGAAGTCTTGATCTCTCTAAGTGCCAGAATTCTTAGCATGTACCTCTATGCTTAGTTTCAGTCTTTTAAATTTGCTGCTTATATTCTTAGCATACAAATGTGTGACTTACGGAAGCATTTCAGATTATTTCACAAACCATGATATGTCCTGTTCTTTATGTCTCCTGGTTCTCTTAGGACACAACAGTGAGAAGCATTAATGTGAACTGCCTTCTTTATGGTTATTTTGCTGATTGATCCTTGAGCTTAAAATTCTATGACTACATGAACACTGTGCCAGTATAATTATTTTATAGTTATATTGCTGTGGTATTTTTATTTCTAGTCAAGTGCACCCTGTGTTGTTTTTATTGATGAAATTGATGCTATTACTCCTAAACGAGAAGTTGCTTCCAAAGACATGGAACGAAGAATTGTAGCTCAGCTTCTAACATGCATGGATGGTAAATAACCAGATCATTTTTAAGATAATATGTTTCTTAATGTAAAAGTCATACATGTGTGGATGAACCACTTAAATAGTGAATCTCGTAAAACAGGATCTTTTTTTTTAAAGTGATTTACTTATTTTTTTTTTTCTTTTTTTGTATTTTATGTACATTGGTATTCTGCCTGCTTGTATGTGTGTGTGAGGGTGTTAGATCTTCTGGAACTGGAGTTACAGTTTATGAGCTGCCATGTGGGTGCTGGGAATTGAACCCGGGTTCTTTGGAAGAGCAGCCAGTGCTCTTAACTGCTGAGCCAACTCTCCAGCCCCCAAAACAGGATCTTTTTTTGATGTTGTTTTGTTTTTTTCCAGACAGGGTTTTTCTGTGGTAGCCTTGGCTGCCCTGGAACTCACCCTGTAGACCAGGCTGGTCTTGAACTCACGGATATCTTCCTGCCTCTGATGTCTGAGCGCAGGGATTAAAGGCATGTATCACCACATCTGGCTCAGGATCTTTCTTTTGTAAAAGATTTTCCATTCATTTCAAATTGTATTATGCTCTGTTTGTGTATGTATGCATTTATGTGGGTGCACATGTGTGTGCCAGGAGTGTGTAAGAGAAGGGAGTGTGTCTGAGAAGGGAGACCAGAGGTCAATCTCAGATACAATTCTTTAGTAGTCATCATTGGTCAAATTGGTTTGGTGCTCACCAAATGGGCTAGACTAGCTGGCCAGTGAGCACCAGGGGTCTGCCTGTCTCCGGCTCCCCAGCACTGAGATTACAAGCATGCCACATTAAATGCATTTTTTTTTTTTTAACATGAGTTCTGAGGCTTGAACTCAGAACTTCATGCTTGCATACCAAGCAATTTTCTACCTGAGCTGGCTCCCCAACTCTGTGTAAGTAAATTCGCCTATACTAGTATATTGGTTTGCTTTTGCTGTTTATTTTCAGGGTTGCATAGTACCTACTTTGTCCCTTAAGAAATGTTGAAAATTTAATGAATTTATTTACTCTGAAAAAGTATTTTTATGGGGATGGAGAGCACTAGTTGTTCTTCCAAAGGCCCTGAGTTTAATTCCCAGCAACCACATGGTGGCTCACAACCATATATAATGAGATCTGGTGCCCTCTTCTGGCATGTAGGCACACATGCAGGCAGAATACTGTATAAATAATATATAAATTATTTATTTTTTTTTTTAAATCTTTTAGCCTGCTGTGACATCAGGTACCTTTAATCCTGGCACTTGGGAGGCAGAGGTAGACAAGTCTCTGAGTTTGAGGGCAGCCTGGCCTATATAATGAGTTCTAGACCAGCCAGAGCTATAAAAGTGAATCCTTGTCTATATCCCCCTTTCCTCCACATATTTTAAGTATGTGGGGCAGTGATTGTGTATGTGACTGCAATACCTGTGGATGCTGTAAGAGCTCTCACAGATACAGGTGATTTTCAGCCTTTAGGCCTGGCTGTTTGATACAAAACTAGGGTCTTATGTAAGAATATGAGCTCTTAACGGCTCTGTTTACCTCTTTAACTGTTAATAATATTCTTTAAACTTACTATGCAGATTTAACATTTAACATTTCCATTATATGGAAACATTTCTACCAATATTTCCATATAGAGTTTGAGGCCAACCTGGGCTGTATAGTGAGTTACAGGCCAGCCTATATGTCATGAAAACAAACAAAAGCAAGAAAAGGAAGAAATAACATGTTTTGGTGTCATATGCCTGTAATCTATTATCCAGACACGGTCTGGGGACAGGATAATTGCTGTGAGTTGTAGCTAGGCTGGTTTACATAGTGAATTTCAGGCCTAGTCTAGTCTGCAGAGTGAGACCCTGTCTTAAAACAAAAAAAGAAAGTTAATTTGAAATATTACATAACATCATATGTATTGCAAGTTTCTCTGGTGCCCAGTTGTAAATTACTTGTATTTTACTTCTTGTGCAGACACAGGGCTTGAACCTGTGTCCTGGTGTGTGTTCTATAAGCTTTCTGTTATAGATTACACCCTAGTGCCCGAAACTGTTTTGTTTTCGTCTCAATTTTTTCTACCATGTTTTTGTGGCCTATATTCTGAGAAAAGCTTTTCACAGATTCTTGCTAATCAGATATTTACAATGTACATAGAATTTGAATATCATGTTATTTCCAGTGAGGCAGTATAACAGACTCTTTTATATAATTCTGGTTCAACTGACAGAACACTTATGAAAGATAAAACTGACAATATTTGTGAAAGATAAAGTTTAAACTCTGTATCCTGTTCATTCCTAAAAATCTATCTCTAAAGTAAGCCAGAGCAGCTTAGACTGTTCTGTCTGCTCTTCTGGTTTCCCCTGTGCTTGTGGGGCAGCATTGCCGTCTTCCCCAGGCTCCCTGGGCTGCTCACATTGTCTGGGTGTGCCTTGCATGTGCCACATATGTGCTGTTATTCATGCTGCTGCTCATGTAGAACTTGGCTAACTTTTACCTTTGCGTATGGAAACCGTACTTGCCCTGCAGGCTTTCCTGAAGTGTCTGGTTCTATGGTGCCTCCATCACTGTCTCCCTTGATCTATTACAGTGCTTAGTTTATGCTGATTGCTATTAAACTTCTTTAAACTCGTCTTACACCATGTTTCCTTACTTATATGCTTTATATTCCTCAGTAGATTGTGAATTGCTGGTAAGAAAGGCAGTCTTTATCCTCACACTTTTTATCTATTAGACAATGTTTATAAATGTGTATATGTCAAAGTACACAAGTTTTTTTTCATAAAGATTTGTCTAGATATTGTTGTCTTCCTATGAAAGACAATCCTGATGAGACCTGATAGGCTAGGGTCAGATAGAAGGGGAGGAGGACCTCCCCTGTCAGTTGACTGGAGAAGGGGGTGGTAGGAGATGGGAGAGGGAGGGAGGGAAGGATTGGGAAGGGACGAGGATGGGGGGCTGTAGCTGGGATACAAAGTGAATAAATTGTAATGAAAAAATGATTTAAAAAAATTGTTGTCTTCAAATTCCGGATGTCTTATTCTCTACTCTTTTTTGTCTGGTTCTTACTAGATCTGAATAATGTGGCAGCTACAGCTCGAGTCCTAGTTGTTGGAGCTACTAACCGACCAGACTCATTGGACCCTGCTTTGAGACGTGCAGGAAGGTTTGATCGAGAAATATGCCTGGGCATCCCAGATGAAGCATCCAGAGAAAGGTATATTCTTATAGAGTCATGTGGTTTGCATACTGAGCTGAATAGCATGTTTTGAAAATAAGTGATATGAGATACCATGTAGTTCATGTTCATTCTCTCCCCTGTGTCTTACCTGTCTTGCTCTCTTTCATTGTTCTTTTTCTTTTTACTTTTTTTGGTGTTGGGCTTGTACTAAGGACCTCAAATGTGTTGCCAAACAACCTACCACTGAGCTATATTTCCAGGCTCTTCCCCCTGTCTCTTTAAAATTGACTTGGAAATGAAAAAAATAAGACAATGTTTAACAAAACAACTCACTCATTTGTTTTAGGTTGTTGAGTAGTGATAATCATTGTGTTTTCTTGATTGTTGTGTGTGTTTTAGTTGGCTTACCAGCTAAGTGTCTGTACCTACGGAGTGGTGTAGTGCCGTGTAGTGCATACGCTAGGTATGTCTGAGTACCATTGCACTAGTACCCAAGGCCATATAGCTCATGAAAAGATGCTAGTGAACGCTACCTGATGGTTGGTATAGAAAGAGCAAAAATAGCTGTACACGAAGAGCCAAAATAACCAGTACGTCTTTTTTTTTTTTTTTTTTTTTTTTTAAAGAAGCACCCTTGAGGCCGTGTGCAGTGGTGCATGCCTGTAATCCTTGTGCTTGGGGAGGCAGAGGCAGGCACATTTCTGTGAGTTCAAGGCCAGCCTGGTCTACACAGCAAGTCCAGACAGCCAGAATTGTTACACAGAGAAACCCTGTCTTGAAAAACAAACAACAAAAGATTGTTTTTACTGTTTATGAGTGTTTTGCCTTCATATATGTCTGTGCACCACATTCATGCTTGATACCCATGGAGATACGAAATATCTGGAAAGTGCAGTTACAGAAGGCAGTTGTGAGCTGCCAGTGGGTACTCGAATCAGATGCAGGTCTTCTGCAAGAGCAGCAAGTGCTTTAAATCACTGAGCCATCTCTTAACACACAACCCTCAACCCTGCCTTTTTGCTTTATAAGAAATTTCCATCATACATGAAAGGAAACCTGTTTTAATTGGTTATTTTTTATATAAATTTTTTTGAGAATTTCATGCATGCATACAGTGTGTTTTGATCATATTCACTGAGCCCTACTCTGAGCCCTATCCTTGCATGTATACATCCCCACTACTCTATTCCCTCCCAGCTTCAAGTCTGCCTGTCTATTTTCCTCCCTCCCTCCCTCCCTCCCCTTCTGTTCAATAACCTAGAGCCTGTGCTAAGGTTTGGGACCATTTACTAGACAGGGTCAGCCTACCACTTAACCTTAAAAGAAAAATAACTCTTCCTCCTCCCAGAACCTATCATTTGTCAGTCTTCAAGAGCAGGAGATCATGACTTCTTTTCCCCTTCATTGTTACAAAACACCTGAGAATTTTGTGCCCTAAATTTTGTGCCAATTTACTTTATCTTTACTTGTCATTTCTGCGAATTAACAGTTTAGAAAGATCTGAGTTGAGCCAAGTATTTCTTCCGTAGCTGAAGCAAGAGTATGGTTGTGGGTTTATACATCCATGCTTGTGTACATACATACATACATACATACATACATACATACATACATACATACATACATACATGTGTATTAGATCTGTCTTAACAGTATCTTATCATTTCCCTTTCCTTTCTCTTGTCTAACTTAGGACTTGAAGTGGCCAGATGCTTACATGACATCTTAGGGATTCAGTAAGAGACTTTCAGGAAATAGGCCTGGCCAGCATTGCTTTTTAAACCTAGCTTTAGAAGTCACAACATATTAATATCATTATACAAGATGGTTTTGTTACTGAAGTCGGCCCAAATTCAAAGAAAAGATACACCAAATCTTCCCAGTAAGAGAAGGGTTATGCATCTTTGGACATATTTTAAAACCATTGTAGTGATGGAACTTCATGTGTTTATTACCCAGTGTCAACAATTACCAAACAGTTTCAGCCTTTCTGGATTGCCAAAAAGAACTCTGTTCTTTTGATGTAACCTTAATAGCTTTGGATAGTTTTTCCTACTATGTATCCTGGCTAGTTTTATTTATGTGAACTTGATACAAGCTAGTCATTTGAAAGGAAGGAGCCTCAATTGAGAAAATGCCTTCATAAGATCCAACTGTAAGGTTTCTTAAAAAAAAAAAAAAAAAAAAAATTAGTGATTGGGAGAGTGTCCAGCCATGGCGGATAGTGCCATCCCTGGGTTGGTGGTTCTTTCTCTATAAGAAAACTGGCTGAGCAAGCCTATGAAAAACAAGCCAGTAAGCAGTACCCCTTCAGTAAATAAATGGTTAAGAATATATAAATAATTGGGAGGAGGTAGGCAGATAATCTGTAAATTCAAGCCTACTTCTAGGCCAGCGAGGGCTACATAGTGAGACCCTGTCTCCAAATACACACAGACAAGAATTGCAAATAATTATTGTAGATATAGCACCATTAATACTATTAAAATGCTGCCAGTGATGTCTTTTTCTTTCTAAAGAGTGTAGTTTGAGGAATAATTTGTAAAAATTATTAGTGTAGTTTGAGAAAAGTGTAGTTTGATTAAGGAATAATTGTATAATGACAAAACTTACATATCGTCTCAGACCAAATAGCCAGGGCCAAAGTCCGCAGCACTGAGCTGCCCATGTATCCTCCCTATCATGTGAAGAGAATGACACTGCTTCTGTGGTTTTCTTCCTGAGTCTAGACATGAGAAAACCCCAGACAATATCAGACAAACCCCAGTTGGGAGCATCTTGTAAAACACTGGACCAATCCTAGCATGAAATGGGTTGGGGTATACAGAGTTCTCTGTGCTGACTTTGCTAGAACTAAAGTTGTTCTAAAAAAAAAAAAATATATATATATATATATATATATATATATATATATATTTTTTTTTTTTTTTTAAAGCTGGGACAAGGTGGTTGTACACCTTTAATCCTAGCATTTGGGAGGCAGAGTCAGGTGGATTTCTGAGCTCAAGGACAGCCGGGCCTATGTAGAAAGACTTGCTCTCAAAAAAAAAAAAAGTATTTTTTTAGAGCATTAGTCAAAAATGGTCGGAAAGTGGTGGTTGCCTATAATCCCAGCACCTAGGAGGTGACAGTTGGAGAGTTAAATGTTTAAGGCTAGCCTGAGCTATATAATATGTATGGGACTAGCCTGGATAATATGAAATCCTGTCTCCAAAAACAACAAAACCTGAACCTTTTAAAGCTCATCCTATTACTTACCAATGAATTGTTTAGACTTGGACTGTTAATTCTGAGAACTTCTAATAGTAGTTTGTTTTGTTTGTTTGTTTTTTAGTTTTTCGAGACAGAGTTTCTCTCTGTATCCTTGGCTGTCCTGGACTTGCTTTGTAGACCAGGCTGGCCTTGAACTCACAGAGATCTGCCTGCCTCTGTCTCCGTGAGTGCTGGGGTTTGTACTGACATGGAAAGATCCAAATTGGATAACCTTTCTTTTTGCTAGTGAAATATGCATACACTAGGATCCCCAAAATATGTTTCCTTGACAATTCTCTGCAAGTATGAGCACCTCTTTCTATATAATTTACCTTGAAGCCTACATGCTTAGGAAATGGTAGTACCTTAAAGACCTTTTAAAAATAAAGTCTAACACCATTTGGATGCCATCTTAAAAAAATGAAAAGCATAGATTAGAAGCTAGATGTGATGTTATGTATGTGTAGTCTCTTATACTCAGGAAACTGAGACGGAAAAATCACTTGAACTAAGGACAAAGAATTCACCAGGGCAACATGAGAAGACCGTCATCTTTTAAAATAAGCAACATTGATGTATACTGTATTGCCAGTTTGGCATAATGATGTGTTTTACATGTACGGTATAGGGTCTGAACAACTGGAAATGGTGTAAATTGGAACAGAACTATGCTAATATAAGATGATGTTAGCTGATCCTGGTGGCACACATCTGTAATCTTAGTACTTGGGAGGTAGAGGCAGGAAGATCGAGAGTTCAAGGCCATCCTCTACTACATACAGAGTTTGAGACCACTTTGAGCTGCGTGACCCTGCCTCAAAATTTAAATCCCTGATATGTTGGATGTTAGACATATCAAGATAAATACCATTATGAAACCTCTATTTTCTATAATGAATTATGTGCTTGTAAAAAATAACTTTTATACCTGGACATGATGGAACATGGCTTTAATTCCAGTTTTTGGGTGGCAGAAGCAGTCTGAGTTCAGCCTCTTCTGTATATCAAGTTGTGGGACAGCAAGGGCTACACCCTAAGACCGTTTTTAAAGAGGAAAAAGACAACTTTTGGTGCTCAATAGAATATGGTTTGAATGTGGCAGTTTCTCTTTGTGATAAGTGCATATTTTATTTGCTCTGCAAGTATCCCCAAAGCTGTTTGCTCTACAGTATTGCAAAACACTTAAACTTGGATTTAGAAAACCAAACAACTGTTTATAATCATTTTAGTGCATAGGATAGTTCCCAGTAAACAGATACTTAGCATAAGCTTTTCCGTAATAAAGTTGGGTATGTAGTAATGATTATGTATTTATTGAATGAATGACTTATTTCATCTTAAATAGCATTCATTATACTGTATTAGGAATTAATATAGTATAACCTTTCACGTAAACATAGGTACGAATTTATTTGCTTTTACTGTTTGTCTAGGAGTCTGAATTTCTTTTCTTTCTTTCTTTCTTTTTTTTTTTTGGTTTTGAGACAGGGTTTTGCTCTTTAGCCTTGTCTGTCCTGTACTTGCTTTGTAGACCAGGCTGGTCTTGAACCTGTTGCAGTCCGACTGCCTCTGCTTCTGTGGATGCTGGGATTACAGGTGTGCGCCACTGTACCCTGCTAGTCTGAATTTCTTTTTTAGTCTGAACTGTCTTTTCTGCAGAATTCTCCAGACGTTGTGCCGAAAACTGAGACTTCCAGAAACGTTTAATTTTTGTCACCTAGCACACCTAACGCCAGGCTTTGTTGGTGCCGATCTGATGGCACTTTGCCGAGAGGCAGCTATGTGTGCAGTCAATAGGGTCTTGATGACACAACAAGAACAGCAGAAGAAAAATGCTGAGATTGAAGGTTCGCCCTCTGAAGGAGACCAGGAGAAAAGGCTGGGAGCTGAGCCCACTTCTGAAACACAGGTGCTCTTCTTTCTCTTGCTTTCTGCTCATGCCGTGTCAGTATGATTGAGAATTAGTCCTTTACAGAAAACACTTGCAGCCCCTGCTAGGCCATTGGCATTTAGTGACACTTATGGTTAAATTGGCAAGTCATATCTCGTTGTAACATGTAACATACAGCATTATGTAATTTAGGTAGGTGGCTTCTGGAAGTTATGTGAAGAAAATAGTATTTTTCTCATTTTGTTTTGAAAGACAGTAAGTTTAACATGCTATGACTTTCCCAGGTCTCCCTTCTCTGCTGTGCTAAGCAGGTACTCAAATCCAGTCTTCTGTTTTTAAACCAGTTGTTTTCCCTTATTTGAAACCATCATTATCTATCATTGTAACCATCATTATGTTAACCATGATAAACTCTTTTTTTTATATAGCATTGTACACAATTTAGGATTTTAATTTCATTTATTTGGAAGTAGGTTTTATTTTATTTTTTAATTTTTAATTTCAAAAAAATATTTATTATTTATACACTATTCTACCTGCACGTGTGCCTACAGACCAGAAGAGGGCACCAGATTTCCTTATAGATGGTCGTGAGCCACCATGTGGTTGCTGGGAATTGGACTCATGACCTTTGGAAGAACACCCAGTGCTCTTAACCAGTGAGCCATCTCTCCAGCCTTTATTTTTATTTTTTTAATTTGCAGTTCCAACTGACTTCAAGCTTGAAACAGTCATCCTGCTTCAGCTTCTAAACTATAGGCATGAGCTCTCATGGTGACAGTGCAGGATTATGACCTGATTTGATGACTGGTTGATTTTTAAAAATCAGTTTAGTAAAGCAGATTTTCTAATCTGTAAAAAATAAAATAGTTTCACAAAAATGTTAGAAATACTATGTTTCTCAATTTCCAGTTAGGTAACTATTTTTGTACATACACTGGAAAATGGTGCTGGATGCCTTCTATGGGATTTACCACATAATTCTACTAAGTAGAGCTATATTTGATTTCATTTTTCTTTTAGATTTTATTGTTTTTGTGTATTAGTGTTTTGCCTGCATGTGTAAATGTGCAAGCATGTGTGCTAGTGGAAGTCAGAAGAGAGCTTCTGATCCTCTGGGACTCGAGTTACGTACGGTTGTGAGCCACTTGTGGGTGCTGGGTGGGAAATTGATCCCAGGTCTGCCATGAGAGCAGCAAGTGCTGTTAACCACTGAGCCAATTCTCAGCGCTAGAGCTGTATTTTAAAACTTACTTTCTTCAATTTAACTTTTATATGAACTTAGCTAAACCTTGGGGCTTACATTAGTCCAGGTTCGTCTGTTATTAATAAATAATTATCACTAATGCTTCTAAGTGCTAGAAACAAAAATGAAAAGTCATGTTTTGCATTTAAATACCTTGATACAGTGTGACTTCAGGGAGAAATAAAAGCACAATAAGTATCAGAATTTCTCAAATAATACATTTACAAAGGTATTGGTTATTTGTTTCATTTTAATTTATTTTTATGTGTACTGATGTTTACATGTGTGTATGTCTGTGCACCACATGCGTGCCTGGCATCTGAGGAGGCTAGAAGAGGACATTGGATCCTTTGGAATAATAGTTACAGCCAGTTCTGAGTGGCCATGTGGGTGCTGAGGATCGCACTTGGGCTCTCCGGATTTGCAGCCCGTGTTTAGCCATCTCTCCAATCTGGGTGTGGTGGTTTCAATGGCAGCAGTTTGCCACATAGTCTTGCCTCCCTTGATAATCTGGCTGAGTCAAATACAGGTTTTTCTGTTTTAATCTTAGTACTAGTACTAACTTTCCTAGCACAAAGCACACAGAAAAAAAAATCAGTATCTGTCTATATGTATAGATGTTGGATATAGAATAAATAAAAGCTAAAACGGGCTAGAGAGATGGTTTACTGTTATGAGCACTGGCTGCTCTTCTAGAGGATCTGGGTTCAAATCCCAGTATCCACATGGCAACTCACCACTGTCTATAACTTCAGTCCTTGAAGACCAACACCCTCTTCTAGCCCCTACAGGTATCAGACTTTGACATTGTGCACACACATACATGTAGGCAGAACACCTCTCCCCATGAATTAATTAATTAAAAAAATTTTGCCAGGTGGTGATAGTGCATGTCTCTAATCTTAGCATTTGGGAGGCAGAGGCAGGTAGATTTCTGAAGTTGAAGGTCACTGTGGTCTACACATCCAGTTCCAGGACAGCCAGGGCTACCTAGAGAAACCCTGCCTTGGGGTGAGATGGGCGGGATAGGGTGGGATTTGTTTCTGTCCCTTAATGGTCTTCATAAAGCAAGAAATTTACCTTTGAAGTTCAAGATTCATTGAACTAGGAAGGTTGCCTTCTGTAGATTTGGTTGATAAAGCTTTAGAAAAACTTACTATGAGTATATAATTATAATGAATTATAGTTTTTGCCAGAATAACTTTGTCTTAAGTCAGCCTCTTTGTGAATATTTAGAAATGAAATGGAATTGATGAAATGGATATTGGCCGGCAGCCTACGTTTGTGTTATCTAACCCTAATTTAAGATTTAGCATCATATCAAATCAGTCTCTCTCCTCTTTCTTCCTCAATCTGACCATGCTGGCCTCAAACTTACATATTAGCTGAGGATGACTTTGAGTGGCATGGGCCATTAATACTGGCCTGGAAATTGCTTTTATATATCTTGACTTTAATTGATATATCCTTGTTTAACCAAATATATAATTTCCTTAGAATGGAATGAATATATCTTGTGTAAAGGAGGGATAAATTATTATTATAATACATAGTTCATTACGTTCACTATAACTTAGAGAATCTTGGAATACTTAAATTACATGTATTGCTTCACATTTTTTTCCTTTAATTGTTATCTTGAAGGATGAATTGCAGAGGCTGTTGGGGTTGCTAAGAGACCAAGATCCCCTCTCAGAGGAACAGATGCAAGGACTATGCATTGAATTAAATGATTTCATTGTTGCTCTAGCAGAAGTTCAGCCTTCTGCCAAAAGGGAAGGCTTTGTAACTGTCCCGAATGTTTCATGGGCCGATATTGGTGCCCTGGAAGATATTAGAGAAGAGCTCATAATGGCAATATTGGTAGGTATATCAGCTATCAGTGATACTGGCATTGGTCATGAGTTAATATCTAAAAGAAAATCTGTATATATATCTACCAGATTATATCATTGAGAAAAACATTTTAGACATTTATTTTTTATTTTATGTGTGTTAGTGTTTTGCCTGCATGTGTGTACGTGTGCCTTGTACATGCCTAGTATAGGCAAAGGTCTGAAAACATCAATCTTCTAGAACTAGAGTTATAGATTATTGAGAACCACGTCTTGTAGGTACTAGAAGATGAATCCAAGTTCTCTGCAAGAGTAATAAGTGCTCTTAACCATTGAACCATCTTTATAGCCCCCAAATACATCTATTGAATATATTAAAATATAGCTACTAAAATATAATAAAATATAGCTATATAAATATAGCTTTACTGAGATATAATTCAAATATTATAATAGGAAATTCAGTCTCAGTTTGTCGTTTTTTTTTTAAGTCAAACTGTCCTAACAGTAAGATGTCATTCTTTTGAGATGCTTCATACTCATTATTTTGGTTGTGTTTGGTTACTCCTGTAGTGAGTCCAAGAAAAACAAATTCAGGTTTCATTCAAGATCACTTCTTTGAAAACCACCTTCTTGGTCATATTCAAGAGGGTCAAGGCAGTTGACACCCATGAAACTTTGACACCCATGAAACTAACTTAGTTTAGTTTTCTGCTTACTGATTATTTTAATTGAATTATGGTCCATTTAAGAAGTGTGTGTTACCAATGTGAAAGCACACTCAAGATTCCAGAGAACAGGCACTTGTGGCATTTGACCGTGTGCCAGGTCTACTGCCTTGATTTCCTGGAGAAAGCTATTACCTTTCTAATTTAGTTCATAACTTAGAAATTTGGTTGAGTTTCTAAAACTTGATTTTAATATATTGAAATTTGCCTGGGGGAATAGCTCAGTGGGTAAAGCATTTACCATACAAAGGATATGAGTTTGTATCCCCAGAAGCCATGTTAAATCAGATACAGTAGTGAAAGTCTGTAACTACATCATAAGAGGCAGAGGCAGGAAGGGTCCCTGGAAACCTGGGACCTAGCCTGCTTGGTACACACAACAGAAAAAATAAAGAGACCCTGATTCAAAGAAGGTAGAAGGCAAGGACCAAAGATTGTCCTCTGACCCACGCAAACACTGGCACACACATTATAATGATAAAAAGAATGAAATAGTCTATCTTTTTGTCTAAAATATTCTCATAATTTACCTGTATGTATAAATTTCTTAAGAACAGTGAGTTTGGCTTCATGTGACAATACACACCTTTAGTCTTTGTTCTTAGGAGACAGAGGCAGGTGGGTCTTTGAACTTGAGGCCAGCCTGGTCTACATATTGAGATCGAGTCAAGCAAGACTATATAGTGTGACCCTGTCTCAAAAAAGAAAAAGAAAGAAGAAAAAAGAGAGCTTTTCCTGTTTATCACCATGCATCGTGGACCTGATATCTGAAGCAAGGGTCAGCAGACCACTGTCATTTTCAGGCCTGTGGTCAGGGTTGAGTATAAGAGATGAAGTACATTTGAAGATTTAGAGAACAATAATGAGGAGTCACTGTTAGCATTGTTTCTTCTAGGCACCGGTACGCAACCCAGACCAGTTCAGGACTCTTGGTTTGGGGACTCCAGCTGGCATCCTCCTAGCTGGTCCTCCTGGATGTGGAAAAACTCTGCTAGCAAAGGTAAGGTATAAGTTCTACTGCATGCATTGTATTTCTTGCCTTCAGTAGGATAATAAAGCTTTAAGTAACATGAAGTAAGCCTTGCATACTTTCTGCAAAGCTGATTTTAGCAAAATAGTTTTTTTATAGATTTTTTTTCAATAAAATTTTCTACCTCATTTGTCCTTAAGAAAAAAATTGTTTTAATTGGTTGTGTCACTATCATTCCTGTAAAAGAAGCAAGAAAAGGGTCCTGTCCTCTGAGGACAGAAAGCCTTATATGTCTCTCATAGTTAGGAAACATTTTATGAACCCACCATTCATTCTTGCTCAGGGGCCATTTGAATCTAGTACATAACTTTAGTTTGTAGCTGATCTTGTTTCTTGCTTTTTATTATAACTAGAGTATTTTTCACTATGTTCTTTACAGTATTAAAAGAAAACTTTCTGCAATAGAAAATATAAATTAGCAAAAGGGAAAAACATTTATAATCTACTACTGCTTTCTGCTACCACTGTTTAATTTTTATGCATATCAAGATATAATATATGCAAGATAATTTGTTAGTGAGCTTTTGTTATGATAAAATGCCTGAACAACTTAGGTGAAGGGACATTGTTTGTTTGGCTCATGATTTCTGAGATTTTAGTCTAGTATATCTGTTTCTGTGCTTATGGTAAGGGGGAACATCATGGAAAAAGGGTAACAAAGGAAAGTAGCTCACCTCATGGCAGCTGGGAAGCAGAGAGGAAGAACCAGGAAGAAAGTGGGACAAGATAAATCTTTCCAGAATGTGCCCCTGATGACTTACATTTTCAAGCATTCCACTACCTCTGAGTAATGAGATTAAATACCCTTCCCAACTCCCACCTCCAATCAGGATTTCTCTGTGTAGCCTTGGCTGTCCTGGAACCAAGCTGTCCTCATGCTCACAGAGATCCACCTGCCTCTCCCTCCCAGGTGCTGGGATTAAAGACAAGAGCCACCACAACCCCAGGAGATTGAATTATGAATGTAGCAATCAGTATCATTTAGTTCAAATCAAACTTAGGATCCTGTTAATTCCTAGAACCCTGTCAGGAGAAAGTTAAGCCTTTACCATACAAAGATTTGGAAAATGTCTCATATCTAAATCATAACAATAATACATGTAAATTTTTTAAAGATGTAAAATATTTTTTTAAAAATTATGTTAATTACAGGAAGTAGTGTCTTGTCCTGTGTTGTAGGTTGGCTTAGAACTCATGTAATGCAGGCTGACCTCAGACTCTTACAGATCATTTCTTAGCCTCCTAATGGCTGGGATTATAAATGTATTATTATACCTGGCTTCAAATAAAAGGTTTTAAACACACTTTTCTTGCTTAGCACTATTTCCTGAATACAGTGTTTTTGGAATTTAAGAAAAAATCATTTGTACCATATGTGTGCCTGGGGCCCAGGGATGTCAACGGAAAGCATCAGAAACCCTGGAACTAGCGTTACAGACGGTTCTATCCACTAGCAGGTCCTCTGGACAAACATCTAGTGCTTTTACCACTGAGTCGTTCTCTCCAGTCCCTGAACACACTATTTTTAATACCTTAGGCTGAAGAGATGGCCAGTGAGCAGTTTAAGGCACTTGTTACCAAACCTGATGGCCTGAATTCAATCCCAGCACCCACACTGATGAAGAAGGAACTGACTCATGCAGAAGAGTGCTATAAAGCACATGTCCCCCCTCCCGTATACACATGCACACACAAATAAGTAAATGTAATAAAAATGTAAGGATTTTTAGTGTCTGAGTTATATTTTACCATAGAGCTGTTTTGTAGTTTATGGTAATATGGATATGGTTGTGGAAGCTTATAGTCTCAGCACTTTGTAGCTAGAGGCAGGAGGATCAGGAGATTAAGGTTATCCTCTGCTACACAGTGAGTTTGAGGCCAGCCTAGGCCACATGAGGCCTTGACTCAAAAAAACCAACTGAGCAGACAAAAATTCGATTACATTACGTAATCTTGTATTCACTGGTAATTTTATTAGAATGTAGTCCTAAATCATTTTTCAGTGAATAGAGTGCATGTTTTTAAAGTATATCAAGGTGGCTTTCTAAAGGTTTGTACCATTAGTAAAGTGAGTATTCATCTCACAACTTAAATTCGTAATAGCCATTTAAAATTGTTTTTCTTTTTTTAGCTGGCCTGGAACTCATTGTGTAGACTCAACTGGCCTTGAGCTCTCAGAAGTGTGCCTGCTTCTGCCTCCCAGTTGCTGGGTTTAAAGGTGTATACATGGTACCATACCTGGTTTAAAAGTTCTTTAAATATTTGACAACCCAGTAAGTATAAAGGGTTTTTCCTATTTGTCTTATTTGTATCTTTTTGTTTCCTCTGGGTAGGCTGTGGCAAATGAGTCTGGACTGAATTTTATATCTGTCAAAGGCCCGGAATTATTAAATATGGTAAGTTGTGTGGCAGCAGTCATTATTTTAATTAAGATAAACCGTGATGATTCTTACAGGATTTGGTGCTCTCAGATCTTAGGACAGTTGTGACATTTTGACAAAATCTCTGGCGTAGAGTAGGAAGATTGAGCTTGCTATAACGGGGTTTGTAAATGCTTCTTGAATAAATCTGTTAACCTATGATCTTGAGTTTCTGTACCTCTAAACTGGAAATGATTTCTTACAGCTATTAACATTGAAATGTGTTTGTTCTATTTACCTATCAGAAATTTCAAATGTATTGTTGAACAGCCTGCAAAGTCTGAATTGTGTGTGTGTTCGAGTGCGTGTGTGCAGGTACACATGTGCATGGAGGTCGGGGTCTACCTGGGTGTTGTTCTTCAGGAGCTGTTCTCCTTGTGTTTTGAGACAAGTTCTCTTACTGGGCCCCAGGCTTGTGAGACTATACTGCTGCCTGCTGAACTCCAGGAACGTGCCCTTTCTGCCTCCCTAGTGCCCACCCTCTTCAGTGCGTGCTGGGAATGGAACTTGTTCTCATGCATGCATGGAAGCACATACCAGCTGAGCTGTCTTCCCGGCTCTTGGTTACTTCTCCTTTGCTGACCAGTACAGATGAGGAATGCTTAGTATGGAGAAGCTTTGTAACTGGACGGATTTGTCAGTTGGAATACCGTAGTAGTGTTGAGGTTTGAATTTGTGTTGTGTGGCTTGGTGATCTATATGTAAATAAGTAGAAGTGCTTTGGAAGAAAGAAATTACTAAATGCTGTGTCTTCTGCACTTACATCAAACCTAAGAGACTTGGGTTTTTGAGACAAGGTTTCTTTGTGTAGCCTTGGTTGTCCTGGACTCAATTTCTATAAATTCTATAAATTGGCTGGCCTTGAACTCAAGTGATCTGCCTAGCTCTGCCTCCCGGAGTACTTGCTGGGATTTCAGGTTTGTGCCACTGTGCCCCGTTGAGACCTTCTTTTTTTCCTGCCATCCGTACATAAAGCAGAAAGGGTATTCAGTATTTGTCATATACTTAAACAACAACAAAAAATAGGTTGCATTAATTTATATTCTTTTTATCCTGACAGAATAAGAGATCAAATCAGGTGTGTTCAGGATCTATACCTGACAAAAAAGCAGAAACAACATGAGGAAAAGATGTATTGTCACTGTTGTAGAAGGTTAGCACCATGATGGTAGAAACAGCTTGGTGGAATAGCTTTCATTTTAATCTATGAGGTGGTGCCCCTCACTTTTAGGTTGAGGCCTCAGACATCTTCAGCGGTGTGCCTTCCCTGTTCTCTAGGTGATTTTAAATCCAGTCACATTGACAATGGACATTAACATTATATTCATGCTACTGGTTCAGCGTTTTTTCTTTGGGTGCCAAGGATTGAATCTAGAGCTCTCAGGAAGCTCAGTGTGCTCTCTGATTAGCTACTCCCCATCTTTTTATTTATATTTTTCTAGAGTTGGGGATGAAAATCCCAGCACCCCCCCACCCCTTCTCTCATCTTTTCTGCTGTGTTTAGCTTTTCCTATTAAAGTTTATACTTTACTTTCTGTGGCCTTTTTATGTACCTTTGTACCTTCCTTATTTAATAATTGTTTAATTTCTAATGAAGGATATATTGTAAATGAACCTTCAAGGTAGTTGCTTGGTAGGCGATAAAGTTGTAGTTGAAGAGTCTTTATATCAAGTTAGAATTTAGATGCTGTTTAGAATAGGTGCTAATAGATACATTAAATTAAAGCAAGAGTAAAATATTTTGAAGACAGAATTTTTAAATTGGTATGAAATAGTTGGGAGAATATAAGAAGCTTTAGGAGTGCAGGGAATCTTATGAAAGAAGGGGGAGTTATTAAGATCTGGAGAGAACAGGAGCTCCACAAGGAGAGAAACAATACCAAAATATCTGGGTACAGGGGTCTTTTCTGAGACTGATATTCCAACCAAGGACCGTTCATGGGTATTACCTAGAACCCCTGTACAGATGTAGCCCATGGCAACTCAGTATCCAAGTGAGTGCCCTAGTAAGGGGAACAGGGACTGTCTCTGACATGAACTCAATGGCTGACATGAACTCTTTGACCACCACCCCCTGAGTGGGGAACAGCCTTGCCGGGCCACAGAGGAGGACAGTGCAGCCAGTCCTGATAAGACCTGATAAACTAAGGTCAGATGGAAGGGAAGGAGGACTTGGAAGGGGCATGAGAGGAGAAAAGGGAGGGAGGGTAGGATTGGGAGGGAATGAGGGAGGTGGCTACAGCTGGGATACAAAGTGAATACATCGTAAATATCTACAAAATAGTAGAGTGTGCGCGCCGGTGTGTGTGTGTACACAGATTTGTAAGTGTATGGGAAGGCCAGAGGTATTCCTTGGGTGTTATTCCTCACATTCTGTCTACATGGTTTTATTGAGACAAGGTCTCTGAGTGGACTGGAACTTGCCAATTGGTCTGTATTCGCTGATCAGCAAGCTCAAGGAGCCTCCATTATCCACCTCTCAGTGTTGAGATTATAAATTCTAGCCTCCTGGGGACTGAACTCTGGTCCTCATGCTTGCACAGCAGCTGTTTGTCTCCTAAACCCTGCTCTTACTTAATGTTAGTTATGGAAACTTTGTTTATTTTTTGTAAAGATGCCTGGGCCTTGTGTATGCTGGGCAAATACTGCTACTTGAGCAACACTCTTATCCCTATCAGGAAAAAAAAAAAAGCTATTTGTCTAGCTAAAAATCAAAACCTTGTCCTTACCTATAAATTGTTATTACTCAGTCCTAATATATGGCTACTTGTGGATTGTTATATTTTTTGACTGAACTTATTGTTTATATTTAAATTTAGATTTTAATATGGAGTATGCCTCTGATAGGTCTAGCACATTCACCCTGACTCCACTGTTGCTTTTAAAAAGCTTTTATAAAAAGCTTTTTTCTGTTTTACCAAGAATGTTTGTTATATAGGAGAGTAGGTATCAGTTGATTTGTGTGTGTTTTAAAATACTGTTGGATGTGTAACAATTACTCCAGGGTATTTTATTATGTAAGAAATAGGCAATTGGTTTTAGAATACAGTGGAATTAAGGGATTTTATATTCTACTTAATCTTCATTGTGTGAATAAAAACAGCTTATCTGATTAAATATGCAATTGGCTGTCTTTTTAAGACATGGCTTTGCTGTGTAGTCAAGTCCGGTGTGAAACTAGGGATGCTGTGTCAGCCTCCCAGATACTGAGATGATAGGAGTATGCCACCATATCCAGTGGAGTTAGCTATTTTTATAGCTCAAAGTGATTTAATATTAGTGGTTGCATATGGTTTAATATGATACTTTTAGAACTCTTGACACCTGTGTGACTTTCATTTTTAAGATATTTTTTAAGTTAGAATTACCACATTTGCTCCCTTCCCTTTCCTCTATCCAACCATTCCCATGAACCTCCCCCCCTGCTGCTCTCTATCAAACTCATGGCCTCTTTTTCTTTAAGTGTTGTTTAACATTCCTAAATATATAAATACATAGGATCTACATGATGTAAAACTGTTTTTACTATCTATTGCTGCTCAGCCCCAAGATTAAGCTGTCTCCCTTTTATCCACTTTCTATATATGTTTAGTATGTTGGTGAGAGTGAACGTGCTGTGCGACAGGTTTTTCAGCGAGCCAAGAACTCAGCACCCTGTGTGATATTTTTTGATGAAGTGGATGCTTTATGTCCTCGAAGATCAGATCGAGAAGTAAGTATCAAAGATTTTCTAGTTATGTATGAATGCATGTTTATAAAAATCTCACATTTGTGGAAAAAGTTAAAAAATTCTCCTGATTATACTTCTTGCAAATGCTGATACTAACACTGCATTATCTGTGTGTATCATTTTAGGATTCTTTCCATAAATATTTGTATAATTTAGACTTCTGCTTTATAATAAGTATGGATATATTATCTTAATGATTGTTTTATCTCTTCTGTAATATCCAACAGTCTAGCTATAGCAGAATTCACTTGATAATGCCTTGTTTTAGATATTTATATTTCCTTTTCTTTTTTCTTTTTATTTCCTCCCGAGACAGCCAGCTTCCTACCTCTCTCTCTCTCTCTCTCTCTATCTCTATCTCTATCTCTATCTCTATCTCTATCTCTATCTCTCCATCCATCCATCCATCCATCCATCCATCCATCCATCCATCTATGTAGTGTGGCCTTGGCTGTCCTGGAACTTGATGTATTGACCAAGCTGGTTTCAGAGATCCATCTTCCTCTGTTTTCCTCTAAGTATCGGGATTAAAGGCATGTGCCACCACCGCCTGGCTAGAACCTACTGGTTCTTAATATTATTGCGTCTGGATTTTGGGTCTGTTAATGTCTTAATTACTAGTGCTATGTCACCAGAGAGTGGGAATAAGGCTGTACAAATGAATCCTTCTAAAAGAGTCAACGGGTTAAAGCTGTGTCCATTCATAAATTTATATTGAAGAAAGGCAATTAATTGTAAAAGATCCATAGCAACAATCTCATTTCCTTCATTATCTATGTATTTTATTACCATGTTTTCATATCTCTGTATCCATGTACTTCTTGAAGCATTTTCTTGGGTATTGTCGTGAATAGGCATGCTTTGCACCGTTTGCTTCAAGTAAAAGATAAAGATCCTAACATATTCAATGTTCTCTTGTACATTGAAACATGTGGGACACTTGACATAATCAGAAATCTAGATTTCCATTGCCCAGATGGAGGTTTATGGTAGCTGTTGAATAATTCAGAAGCATAAGGTTTAGGTGTAAGGCTTATCTCTCCCTTATGCAGAAATGAGACCTTAGATAAATAACCTTGTCTAAGCTTCAATTTTCCCATCCTGGCTGTGACTACTAGTAGCTTTGCTAGGGAATCCGCTGATGATTGTGTTTTACACAATCTATAGTGAGTCTTTAAAAAGTAGTCATTGATGCCTGCCTGCCTGCCTGCCTGCCTTCCTTTCTTTCTTCACTCTTCACTTTCTCTTCCTTTCAGTGCTTCGTTTCTCTCTCTCATCTTTCTAAAATGACTCTTTTTGTAGCTCAAATTGACCCTATTCTCCTAGATTCAGGTGGTCTTCCTTCAGCCTCTGGTTCAAGCTACTGTTCAGTCACTGTAATCTTTCTTGGATAGAAGCTCTCATTCAAGTTAAATAAATGTATTCTATTGTGCAGATGAAAAATGGAGGTGGGAGGCTGCTTTCCTTATGTTAAAGATGATAGAACTAGACCTTTTTGTTTTTGTTTTTAAGACAGGTGCTAGTGTCCGTGTGGTTAATCAGCTGCTGACAGAGATGGATGGTTTGGAAACCCGTCAGCAAGTCTTTATTTTGGCTGCTACTAATAGGCCAGGTAAGAAAAGAGAACTTTACATGATGTGTTAATAAAGTGAAATAAAACCTTAAATAGCTCTTGTGTATGCTGCAGTAACTGGAAAAGATGACTCAGCAGTTAAGAATACTTGCTGCTCTCCCATAGGACCTGTGTTCAGTTCACAGCACCCACAAGGCAGCACACAGCTGTCTGTAACCCTGGTCCCAGGGAATCCACTGCAAGCATGTGGTGCACAGACATACTGGTAGGCAAAACACTATGCATATAAAATAATAATAAATCTTTTTTTCTTTAATTAAAAATATTTTCTGATTCTCATGGAATTGTTTTTCTTTATTGGTTTTTGTGCTGGTTGTTTTTGTTGTCAACATGGCACAACCTAGAGTCACCTGGGAAGATAGACCCACTTGAATAATTAGTTGCTCAGATAAGACTAGCCTTTGGCCCTGTCTCTAAGAGTTTATCTTGAGTGTTAATTAACAGTTGCTGCCCAACTGTTGTGAGCAGCAACCTTCCTAAAAAGATGGAGAAAGGCTGCATGAGAAAACCAACTGAGGGCTGGAGAGCTAGATGATTCAGAGGTTAAAGGCACTTGATACTCTTGCAGAGGAACCAGGTGCAGTTCCCAGCAGCCGAGTCTTCTTGCAGCTATCTATGACCCAGTTCCAGGGATCCTATGCTCTCTTTTGGTCTCTGATCACTAGAGACACACAGTGGACACCTATGCATGCAAGCAAAACCCTCATAAGTCACATAAAATAAAAATAATAATTATTTAGAAAAAGAGAAAGCTAGTTAAATATGAGTCAGTGAGCAAGTCAATAGCAGCATTAAGTGTAAGCTAAATAAATACTTTTCTCCCCTAAGTGGCTTCTGGTCATTTTTTAGTCTTGATGTTTATTCCAGCAATAGAAAGCAAACTAGAACATTGTTAATTGTCTTCTTGTCAGGGAATACTTGTACCACTTTCATTTTATGTTTGGTTGGTTTGTTTGTTTGTTTGTTTTTGTAGACTGGATATTGCTATGTAGGTTGGCCTTGAGCCATCTGTCTCTCTACCTTAGCTTCCTGAGTGCTGATAGAGGCATGGACCATTCCTAGCTTAATGCACTCTTTTGACCCTAAATGTAGTCTCAGAATTTGTGTAGTATGGTTTCTCTCAAGTTCATAGAAAACAAGATATAGACTGCCATTATACCTGAAAATTTAAAATAAATTTTATTAAGATTTTATGCTGAAGTCATGCCTCATTATTGGCCTATAACTGTGATTTAAAAATTGTTTTCAAGCTTAAGCATTCTATGATGGCTTTGACAAGAAAAAAGGATAAAAACTTCCAACGTGCTTAAGTTAGCTTTTCTATTTTACTCTAATTTCTGTTCATAGTTTTAATCCTTTGCCCTCCCTGCAATCCAAACTTTCATAGGTAGTCTGTTGTGATCTTTGATAACTGTCTGCTACCAGGAGATGTCAGATTTTCAAGAGCTGGAGTTATAGGCATCTGTGAGCCACCTAACATGGATACTGGGATCTAAACTCAGGTGCCCTGAAAGAGCTTCAGGTGCTCTTTAACGGTTGAGCCATCACCATCAGTCCATATATTTGCAGATTTTTTTTTTTTTTTTTTTTTTTTTTTTTAAGATAGGATCTCACAGAATAGCCTGGGAAGGCCCAGTACTTAATACATCCCTGCCTTGACCACTTTAAGTGCTGTGATTACGCATTTGGACTCCTCACTTGGTGTCTTGAATGTATTTTTCAGTTGTCTAACTGGTGTAAGTTTTCATTTGGAGGAAGTTACTATCTATAATGATAATGAAAAAATGGAGAGTTATGGTTTATAGTTTGTCTTTGGTAAAAGAACAGAATGTGAACATGACAGACTTTGGCTTGAGTCCTAGCTGTAGGACTTTGTTTCTTACTGTGCTATTAACAAGTGGGAATAAACCCCAAGACAAACCAAATACTGTTGTTACAACCTCGATTGACCTAACAACTAGACTGTAAGGTGATTCTGATACTTACTTAGGTCTCACTTACTAATTCAGTCCTCATGGGACTGCACCACTTTAGTGCCAGTTCTAGGCAGTGTTCTCAGGATACCTGGACTTCTGAGCTTGGGAATTCCCATGACTCTCAAGTTCAGCAATTTGCTTAACCTGTCAATAGACCTCAGGAAACTGTTAAAATTTGTGTTACAATTTTGTTACAAAAGGACCCACATGGTACCTAGTCTGGGAGAAGCACAGAATTTCACTAACTGGGAAGTTTCCTTAAACTTTGGGGGCCAGACTTTTTAGATTGGAACTTCATTATGGAGACTGTTTTAGTGTTTTGTTGCTGTGAAGAGATACCATGACATGGCAACTCTTATAAAAGAAAACATTTAAATGAGACTTGCTTACAGTTTCAGAGGCTTAATCCATTGTCATCACAGGTAGACATGATGTTGAAGAGGTAGCTGCTAGTTCTGTCTATATCCGGATCCACGGGCAACAAGAAGAGAGAGAGACTCTGGGCTTGGAGTGGGCTTTTTGAAACCTCAAAACCCACCCCCTGTGGCACACTTCTTCCTACAAGGCCACACCTACTTGAACAAATAGTGCTGCTCCCTAAGCACTCAAATATATGAGCCTATGGGGCCATTCTTACTCAAAACACCACAGAAACATACTAAATTGGGCACATGATTGAACTGGGTCTTTCTGCCAGAATTCATAGAGACAGTGTGGCTCAATTTTTTGAACACTGATTACATGCCCAGTTTGCTGTGACTCATCCTTATCCTAACAGTATCTAAGGACTCATCACAAGTCACCTCATTAGTGCATCAGAGACACTCCTGTCACTCAGGGGATTGCAGAAGCTCTGTGCTTGGACAGGAGCAAAGATTATGTATATTCTTTTTGATGGTCTTCCTTGTTTTGCTTTGTTGGTTGAGATAGTCTTGTGTAGCCCATGCTGGCTACACCATATTTAACTGCATTTTAGTGACCATCAGAGGAGAATACCTACTTGGCAGGATTGTCTTAAAGACCAAGTGATGAGCAGGTAGAGTACTAGTATTGGGAATAATCATTGGTCATAAGATTACAGAGTCTTCCAAGACAAAACCTTGAAAGCCCTTTAGATTTAAATATGGTCATATACTACCTTTCTTGAGCAGATAAATTTTTTTCTAGCAAATTTCAAAAAGATTGTCTTCAGTCTTCTGCATATTCTATCCTTAATGGGTTGTATATCATTGATATTTGTGTACTGAAAACAGTTTTGTTTTTATCCAATCCCAGTAGATTAGAGAATAATAGGCCCTTCTGTGTCATTAGATTTTCTTTAAATTGTCTTCTGGTTATTTACAGACATTTTATCCTTCCTGAAAGGTTTCTTACCCTCATTGCATCAGTCATCTTAAGGTTCTTTATTCTCCAGGTCTTTATTCTTAGTTGTAAAACAGTATTCTGTTTAACGTTCTGTATTGAGTTTGTTCTGTGTTGAGTGATGAATCTTAGTTTACCTGTGTTTGCCCTCTCATGCATTTGTGCTTTATCTTCTGCTCTATTGTATTTCATCCATTCTTTTTTCCCCCTTATAACAAACGCTATTGTGCCAGTTTACTGCATATATTTACAGATATTGTCTGGACCTTTTTTGGTTGTATTCGTGACAATTTGGCTGTTCTATTTTATTGTATGTGTGTGACTATTATTTTTATATATAATTCTGCCTAGTTTTCTTTTTAATTAATTTTTTTGTCTGTTTGTTTGTTTGTTGTTTTTGAGACAGAGTTTCTCTGTTTAGCCTTGGTTGTCCTGGACTCTTTGTAGACCAAACTGGCCTTGAACTCACTGAGATCCACCTGCCTCTGCCTCCCTGAGTGCTGGGATTACAGGTGTGTATCATCATGCCTGGCTTAAACAATAACTAAGCTACAAAACAACTCCACATACTTGTGGGTTTTTGTGTGTGTGTGTGTGTGTGTGTGTGTGTGTGTGTGTGTGTTGAGTTTTTGACTGCATGTAAGCATGTGTACTGTGAACTTGAAATGACAGCAGACTTATATCAAAAGATAATAAAGGCTACAGAGAAGTGGTATAATACTTTTCAAGAGCTGAAAAAACTGTCAGCTCAGAACTCTGTATCTAAAACATATTTCAGAATATATTTTTCAGGTGAAAAACTAAGAAAATCTGCCAAGAGCCATGCTACTCTAGAAGAATAGCTTAAGGAAGTTTGGGGAAATTTTTACTTAGTAGTAGTGCACTTGCTTAGCATTCATGAGGCCCTCCACTTGCCCTGTATTTAAAAAGAAAAAGCTCTATTTCATGTATTTCTGTTTTTTTCTCTTCTCTAGATATCATTGACCCTGCCATTCTGCGCCCAGGCCGACTAGACAAAACTCTCTTTGTGGGTTTGCCACCCCCAGCAGATCGTGTTGCCATATTAAAAACTATCACAAAAGTGAGTAAAAGAAATGACTTTTTGTGTATGTGTATAGCATTTAAAATGTTTTTATTTTGTTTGATGTATTTGTGTATGTGTTCCTGCGTAAATTTTTGTGCATTACATGTGTGCAGTTGCCCAATAGTGTCAGGCAGATCAGATCCTCTGGACTGTACTGACTCAAAGTTGTGTGCCTCTTCATGTGGGTGCAGGTCTTCTGCAAGAGCTTCTAACCGCTGAGCCATCTGTCCAGCCCTGCTCAGACCACTTTTAAAGTTACACTGTTGGCGTACTTAAAAAAAAAAAAAAAAAGAAAACCTTTTATTTACATTTATTTTATGTTTTTCTCCCTACTCCACCCTAGTTCCTTCCAACACCCCAATACCAGGTAGGAGAGAGAAAAGGTTATGGGAAAAGAGGCACAGTTTTCTTAGCTGCTTCCTGCTGGTTAGGATCGTCAGGTTCCTTGGAGCCAGTCCAGTCCTCATTTCAGGAGATCTCCAACTTCTTGTCTCACAATAGCAGCAAGGGGGAAGCAGGAGCAGCCTTGTTCTCTCTCCAGAGTCCTCAGATTTAAACTATTTGCAGCAGGCAAAGAGCTTTTCTCAGAGCTGGCATGAAGCAAATAATCTGCTGCTGTGGACCATCAGAATCAGTCCCACATCCCACACCTGGAACAAAAACAATAACATGTTTATATCCACAAAAACCCCCACCCCCGTATGCCTAGTGTTGAGATTGTAGATCCCTAGGTATAGAAAATTGATATTTGTTCCACTATTCTGATATGAGAAAAAATTTTGTTCTGGATCCTCATGCTGCACACATAAAGGATGTACTGAATGATGTCTTTAGCAACATCCTACAAACATCACCTTAAAAGGCCCCTTGGAATGAGCCAGGGCAAATCTGGGTGTCTCATGTCAGCTGCAGGACAGAATTCAAGCCTAGTTTATTAAGTGTTAGGAAAGGTCAGAAAAGTGTACTCCGAGCAGATCCTGGGTTTGTGAGTGCCAGCTTGACAAGAATAAAATTTAGGTATTGAGAAGTATACAAGAATTTTCCTTTTGTGAATCTGTTTCTTGTGATTGAGCTTTTGATTTAGAATCTAGAAGGTTTAAGGTAAAAGTTTCTAATGGCATATAGGATATATGTGGGAGGTTCTGTGTACTGAGTGACAGTCAAGGTGGAAGGTTTTTTGAACAGTAAATCCTGCCTTTTAAAAACTTTCATGTGTATGAAAGCTATAGGTACTGTACCGATGGAGGCCAGAAGAGTGTCAGATCTCCCAGAATTGGAGCTACTGGTGGTTGTGAGCTATCATTTGGGTACTAGAAATTAGACCCGGTTTTCTTAAAGAGTAGGCAAGGCTCTTAAACAGCTAAGCCATCTCTTCAGGCTCAAAAAATATCTTTTAAAACTATGCAGTGTTTGCCTCTGCCATGTAATCTACTTAGAATTTATTAAGCATGGCTTCTGTATGTAGAGCTTTTGTTTTGTTTTGTTTTGTTTTGATTCAAGATAGGGTTTCTCTGTGTAGCTTTGGCTGTCCTGGAACTCACTCTGTAGACCAGGCTGGCCTCTGCCTCCTCTAGTGCTGGGATTATAGGCATGTGCCACCACAAATGGCTTGTATGTAGAGCTTATGTTCAGTGTTTGAAATTCTGAGGCTTTTCTGATCCTTGTTCTTTTCAGCATCTGTAATTATAAGCTAGGAGGAATTGGTTCCAATGTAAAGGTTGTGTTTTAGATGAGGGATTAAAAACATCTTGGGTCCTGTGTAAAGCAGGCTTTTTCATTCTCAACAAGCTGGGTTCAGTATTTTTCTCCTTCCATTCAGTTTCATGACACAAATTCCTCCAACTTCATGAATATCAGTGGTTTGCCTTTCCAGCTTCTCATGCTTAAACCTGCCTCTTACCCCAGTCTCCAGACTGAAATCTGTGGCACTCTGATTTGGTTTTGGAGTTGGTTCTGCTCTCTTACTCATCAGGCATTCTTCTTCATTAAGAACCAGTGACATGATGCATGTGAATCTTTAATACCTCCAACAAAACTCACATTTCTCTTCTATTCAGAATGGCACCAAACCTCCACTGGGTGAAGATGTAGATTTGGAAGCAATTGCTAATGACCTTCGTTGTAATTGCTATACGTGAGTATTTGAGTCTCCAGTCTCTTAATCCTCCGGAGTATAGTTTCTTTGTTAGCAGGAAAGGAAAAGATGCCCATTACTCAGATTGTTGGAAAAGCTAATGATGTTTCTTGTGTGCCACCTTATCTAGTGCCTGCCTGGTTCTTGCTCCTTTCTTCTCAGACAGCTTGCCTGCCCATTTGGAGGCTGACTTCCTGGCATAGATTGTTCTTGTTGACACTCAAGCTTCCCTAACCACGTTGTTACCCTTCACTATTAGTTCTACTTTCAGAATATGTAAAGCATGTGTTTCTCACTGGATAGCAAATTCCTTAAGTACATCTGTACAACAGAGGTTAATCTGCAAGACAGTGTGCTCCCTGCATACATGTGCCTCTGATGGTCTGGGATTTTTCTGCCTTTAGCTTGAATGTTGTTGTAGTTTAGCTGAGACACCCCAACCATTCTGTAATTTTAAAAAGCCCCGTTGTTTTTCCTTAACACCTTTGGTACTTGTTATATGCCTCTAGAGCAAGGCCAAATAATACTGGATTTCCACAGGAAAGTAAGGTAAGTGAGTCAGTATTTTCATCATTAAGGGCATTAGGGCTGTTGCTCAGCAGTGTAAACTTACTTTCAAGACCTATTCTTGAATAGTAACATAGGCACTCGATTATTTGATACCTGTAAATTAGGCTTAAGTTCCTTAAAGAATCTGTGAGTTGTGTTAAAGCTGAAGTGTGGGAAAGCCCCAGTCAACCCAGATGCTTCGATAACCTGTTAGGACTGTGCTGACCCATCCTGCTATTGTTACGTGGGATGATTCCACAAACTAAGCCTTCGTGTGCGTGTCTGTGTCTGTGTCTGTCCACTCAGCTTCGTGTGCGTAAAGTTTCTACTAAGTGTGTGTGTTTGTGTGTGTGTAGAACCCACCTTAGGTGCTTAAGGTCTTGTTCTTCAGAAGCCACCCTGTGTTTTGAGACAGTGATTTTGGGCTTAAGTTTTGTTTAAATCCTGGAGCTCATGTCTCTTAGACTAGGCTGACTTAAACATCAGTGAACTCCAGGGATCTGCCTGTCTATAGATTTGACTAGATTTTTTTGTTTGATTGGTTTTTTCTCTTTTCTTTCCTCCTACCTTTTTTTGTGTGTGTGTGTGTGTGTGTGTGTGTGTGTGTGTGTGTGTGTGTGTTTTGTTTTGTTTATATGTGGTTTACAGGAATTGAACTCAGGTCATTATATCCTAGACTCTGACTGGATGTTTTATATTAACATCAGTATCTATGGCTAAGAAAAGGACATTTTTATTTTTATTGTATTACACCTCCTACAAATCCCTTTCTTGTAAAGGTTAAAAAATCTTGAAGTGAAAGCAAACACTCTTTCCTACTAATCCTAGTCAGTTTGTCCCACCTTCATTTACTGCTCTTTTCCTCATTGTTAAGTGTTATAATTGAACATCTTTCTTGGCTCTTGGAATACCTAAGAATGCATAAGAGCACATCTTCTTTACAGGGGTGCAGACCTCTCTGCTTTGGTACGAGAAGCTTCTCTCTGTGCCCTGAGACAAGAAATAACGGGGCAGAAGAGCAGGATCGGAACAGGTATGTGTGTCTCCAGGATTTCTCTGTTCTAGCTTATCATTCTGGATATGCTTTTAAAACAATGTGTAAAAAAATCTGACTTTGTTTTGATGAGACCCTTAGAAACTGTTGTGGAAAATTATGTAAGCTCTTGTTGATATAATAGTAGTGATTTAGTATCTCTACTAAGCAGCATTGTATCTTGTCAGTATACACAAGTGATTAGATAGAACCAAGTGTGTTTGTCCACTGCCGTTATCTTTTGAGTTTGCTACTTAACAATTTGAAAAAAATCTTAATTTATTTTCCTAAGGTAAAGCCCATTTACCTGTCAAATGGATAATGTTAAGATTCAGTTATTGAAACTTCTTTTTTTATAAACTATATCCTGTTCCTTTTGGGAAGTTAATGATAATAGGCAAACTTAGAACATTTTATATACAAAAATCAGAACCACTTTAAGTCGCATACTTGTAATCCTAGTACTTAAGAATCCAAAGCAAAAGAGTCTTGAACATGAGTCACATAATGAGATTCTGCCATGTCCTTTTTTGCCCCTGTTCTTCATGCCAACCAAATCTAAAATAATGCATGCTACTTTGTAAGCTGAATCTGACCACTTCCTTAGGGTATGATTGGTGACTAAAAACTTAACAGGCCTTCTCCTTGCATTGGAGTTGGTGTTTACTGTTTATATACACCTTTAACAAATTTTATCATCTCTGCTTTGCTGTGGCTTTCATTTTTAGCTCTCTGGCCTTTAGAGACTTTGCGCCAATACCTTACCAAAATCATATCTGGCTCTGCTATCTAATTTATCAGTAGCATGTTCAGCAACATGTAATACTTTATTTTAGGCAAATGTATTATCCTAATATCTGTTCACTATTTTGAGTTTAAATTGTTATTACTTAAGTTATCATGTTAACATTATAAGTCAAGTTATATTTTAGTATTTAGCTATTTTATCAGCTAACCTTGTAAAAACTATAACCCTGTATAATCTAGTTTGGTGATATGCATATGTACCCTTAGAATTTTTGGTTTTGAGGACTTCTAGCCTTTGTTGCTTGGTAGTGGAAATTTCTACTCAAGAACACACCCATGGGTTCCCGGTTCCTTGGGTTCTAGCTCTTTTGATATCTCTTCTTATAATCTCTTATTAACTCAATTCTACCTGAGACCACACTGGTCATTTCTGACAGTGTGAGCAGCATGCACAGCCTGACTTCACTGTTTCTTCCATCCCAACATTCCTGAGAGACAGACTGCCTACCAGCAGCCCTGTCTCCCCAAAGGAAGTGGGGAGATTCTCAGTGAGGGGAGCTGGAGAGAGGCATGTGTAAACACCTTGAGTAGGCTCCATCTGATCGCCCATCTCGCTTTTCTTGTCTTACTACACTGAGCTGTGTATATATGCATATCCTCCACAGGTGAGCTCAAGGTCAGCTACAGGCACTTTGAAGAAGCTTTCAGGAAAGTAAAACCATCCATATCAGTAAAGGTAAGAAACACAGTGTCTAGAAAAGAGGTGGGAAATGACATTGGTGAATAGAAGCTCAGAAATTTCATTACTTAATTTTATTTTGTTTATTTTTATTGAGGGATAGTCTCTTTGTATAGCCTAAGCTAGCCTGAAACTTGTGAGACTCCTGTTTTAGCCTTACGAGAGCCAGAATTACAGACATGTGCCATAGTACTGTTTCCTGGCACATATAATAGTAGACCAGAACTTCAGATGTTCGTGTGATGAAATGGTATAGCTACTCAAAAATACCAAAAAACATCTTCCAAATTTATTATTAAATAAAAAGCATAGGGATTGTGTTAGGCTGTAGGCATGAGCCATCACACCTAGCACAATTGGCTTTTGAAAATAAATTTCACTTTTATTTTTTATATTTATTTGTATGTGGTGGGGGTATACTTGAACCATAGCATACAAGCAGAAATCAGGGGGTGCCTTGTGAGAGTTCTCTCTTTCTATCATGTAGCATCTAAGGATTGAACTGCTGCCTCTAAGATAGATGCTAAATAGCTGGAAATAAATCAGCAACATTGTAAGTTTTCCTTTGGGATACATACGTAGGAGTGGAATTGCCATTTAACACTGAAAAGTTTCATGTGATGCTGAGCTTCCACTACATACCTGTTACATTCAGAATTTGGAAAGATTGGCCACAGCCGGGGAGGTGAGGTTGATGAGATGCCAGCAGTCTCCTACATTGTGCTGCAAAGAGTGGAGCAGTCATTGAGAGCCATTTTGGCAGTTTCTTGGAATGTTAAGACACTTTAGATGTCTTTTAGTCTCCTGTTTCCATCTGATTCAGGGTAGTTTACAGGTGCAAATATCTCCTGACCCGGTGTGCGAATTTCCCTGGACAAATGATGGCAATCATGGCATTTCCTAGAAAGAAGCATGAACAGACTCTAGATGCAGGAGCAAGGTGGGATCTGGGTCCAGCAGTCAGGGCTGGACCTTAAACAACAGATTGTGTTTTCTCATGTTCGGGGCCAGACAGCTAAGGTCAAGATGTTTTCTTGTCAGAGTTCTTAGGTCTCCATCACTGAAGGTTTCCTCTCTATCCTGTCTCCACACGTCCTTCCGTTTGTGCATTCTGTGTCCAAACTTCGTCTTGCACAATAACCCTACTCCTTTGGACTGAGGCCCACCCTCCCCTCTCACCTCTGCAGAAGCCCTGCCTCCAAGGACGAGCGCACTCTGAGGTCCCAGGGCTTGGGCTTCAGTGCAGGAGCTTGCAGGTTACGCCTCCCATGCCAGAACTGATGGTCAGCGCGATGTGGTGTTTTCTATCCTCACAGGATCAAATGATGTATGAAGCTCTGCAGAGGTCCCTCCGCCAGTGACATTTGCAGTACTTGGCATGGGGGTGTCTACTGCATGGAACTCGCCAAGAACCACACTCTGGAGGGTCTACTTTCAGCTTGACGCAGATGACCTCGCTGTAAGCATTTTATTTTCACATTAATGAGGCCAAACTGGAGCCAAAGACTCTTCCTCTCTAGCCAGCCCTGTGGGAAAACTCCCGACCTCCTTTTTAAGGGAACAAACAAAAACAAAACAAAACAAACTGATAAAACCTTATTTAAATAAAAGTTTATTTTGAACTACCTTGATCATACATAAAAGTGTTTCCCTGAGAAGTGGTCACCTTACATACCATTACTCCAGATTCACATTCATGTCTGTTTTCCTTAAACCAGGGCATTTTCTTCATAACCAGCCATCAAAAATACTGACACATTACTACCTTATCCAGTTCCAGTCCGTCTTTCTCAGCTGTTCTGATGTCATTTATAGTAACAGGATCTGCCTACAATTAGTTTTTCCAGTGTGTTAAGTCTTTTAGAGTTTCCAAAAGTTGTTGGGTTTTGGTTATTGTTTGGAGAAAGTGTCTATGTAGCCCTGACTGGCCTGGAACTTCTTATGTAGAGTAGGCTGGCCTTAAACTCCCAGAGTTCCAGTTTAATTTACACCTGTGTGGGGTGTAAATTTCACCTCTCATACCTGTATCCCACCCTCACCAGATTCAGGTGAGTGCATTAGTCATTATCATGGTTTGATACTCAGATTGTCTTTAGTGAATTTCTAAACTGATGTTTTATGAGAGATTTTTGTGTCATGATTATTTCATCTAACCCTGTAAGTGTTGCTGTATACTGTATAAACAGGTCTGGTTACTTTATTCCTAAGTTTTTATTGTGTGTCATTCTACAAAGTCTTTGGTGTTACTGTTAAGAATAAGATTGATGGGGCTGGAGAAATGACTTAGTAATGAAGAGTACCTACTGCTCTTTCAGGGGGCCAAGTTGGATTCCCAGCACCCACACAAGCAGCTCAAAACTGCCCACACTCCTAGCTCCAGGGATCCTGCACCTCTGCTTACACGGCCACCTGGGATCACGTGAACATAACCCCCTATCATATACACACAGTATACTTTTTTAAAAATAAAATATATTTTTATAAAAAGAATGAAATTGGTAGTGGGCTGGTGAGATGACTCAATAGGTAAAGGCACTTGCTACCAAGCCTCACACCCTTATTTTGATCTGGGGACCCTCATGGTAGAAGGAAATAACTAACTCTGACCTCTGTGGGTGTATGTCTGTCTGTCTGTCTCTCTTTCTCTCTCTCTCTCTCTCTCTCTCTCTCTCTCTCTCTCACACACACACACACACACACACACACACAAAATTGGAAAAATATGACAAATCAGGGTTATAAAGGTCAACAAACCTCTTTTCTTGAGGACTTCACAGAGATTTGTAGGTACTGAGCAAAGTGGCACTGTTCAGTGAAGGACATAAAGGAAAACGGTGCTGGATCCCAGGAAGAGACCAACAGAGGCAAGCAGGACCAGTAGAGGTAGGTGATTGAGGGTGATCTGGGAATTAGAAGTAAATGCCAAATGAAAACATCTTCAGGCATATCAGAGATCTTCCTGATAATGGATTGTTAGGTCTAAGTACATTTATTTCCGGTAGCCTGGGCATAAAATACAGATTGTATGAGAGGTGACAGTTGTGGTACAAGTTGAACAGAAGTCAGTTACTGGGCAGAAAATAGATCCAATGTTTCTGCAGATAACATCTTTTGAACATACTCTGTGTTTTGCTTGACACCCTTATGTGCCCTTTTGTAGTATTCCCAACTCAATAGGATCTTTTGATACTCACATTTTATAAAAACGAAGATTGAGATTTTGCTGATAGTAACAGCTTTATTTTTCTACTCTGGCTATCTAACTTTTCTCTTTTGAAGAAGATACATCCTTGTGTTTCAAAACATCTGGAATTGTATCTACTGTCAAAGATTTAGCCATCTTAAATATATTTTGTAGCCAAGTGTGCTGGCACATGCCTTTAATCCCGGTACTTGGGAGGCAGATGGATGAATCTGTCAATTCGAGACCAGCCAAGACTGTGTTTGTGGACAAACAAAAAACCTCACAAAAGTACATTTTGTGTCATACACTGCTGACATGATGGGGGAGCAAGCTCAGAACTTTTATGCTTAATTTGGTGTGGGCCAGATACTGCTAATTGTTTCTTGATACCCATTCTTTCTTTTCCCTTTGTTAAGAGGAGCCTAGAAATCCAGCCAGCTACCTGGGGCTGGTAGGTCATAGATCTTAGAAGAGAACCTACTGCCACCATATAGACTAGCCTAATTCCTAACTGCAGTCTAAAGAATTAACACAGATCAGTGCACCTCTTACCCCACATCTAAGAAGCTTTTCGCAGCAAACAGAGCCCATTACAGAAAACCACAACTGGCTGTAATGCAGAGTTAACTGATGTGGGGTTCCCGGCCCCAAACAGATACAACTACAACACCTCCTGGACCTAAGGCTCAGGGAATCAAGGAAGAGGGAGTAGAAAGATTGTTAAGAGCCAGAAGAGCGGGAAGTCTGCTGTGATATCGTGTCTCCTAACCGTGACAAGGAGGCTACGCCCATGATACCTCAGTAATACGCCTGCCTAACAAGATCTAACAATGATAGTACTAATAGACCTCCTAATGCAAAAGGTTTGAAATCTCATGAGTCCTATCCCTTGACAAGAACAGTAGGCAACTGATGACTGCTGAGAGAGAAAATTATTCTCTCCCAGGGTTGAGCCCCCCCCCCCCCCCCCCAATAAAAAGTGACCAGCCCTGAAACATTAAACTGACTTTACAGGTTGTATGTGTGTGTGACAATAAGGAAAAGGGCACTGATTAAAGAGGGGTAGGAGGAATGGGAGGAGTTTGAGGAAGGGAAGGGGGGAAGTAATGTAATTATATTTAAATTTGTTTAAGGACTTTTATGCTGGTTGTGATGGGTGCATGCTTTAAACCTAACACTCGGGAGGCAGAAGCAGGCAGATCTTAGTCTGAGGACAGCCTGGTCTTTACAGCAAGTTTCAGGCCAGCCAGGACTATATAGCAAGACCTTGTCTCCAAAAGAGGAGGTTGTAGGGAGCTTCTGTAGGGAAAGCAAATAAGGTCTGGCTAACATAACAGAACTGTTGATAGTAATTTATCATCCTGTCCTAGACAGAACCAACTTGGAGCAGCAAGCATTGAAAATACGTGTTATGATCGATGACAGAGACTCTGGGTATGTCATCAAAAAGCCACAGAAAAGTGTTAAAATACCCATCATCTGTCGAATGGATCAACACTGCTTTTATATTCCAGAATATGATCCAGCCATGACAATTACACAGCAGGATCCACTCACTGGTGGTGTAGAAGCTACCCTCTAGATCATATGTATAACGAACTTAACACATTTCAACCTTCGAGTAGTTTGGAAGATAATATTCAGTAGGAGCTGCTATATTTTAAAACTTGGGTTTTGATAGTTCTCAGCCAATAGTGGGTGATAATTTTAGGATGCATGGTGTGGCAGTGAGTCAGTGGGCATCTAAGCACAACGTTCAAAAGTACGGACATACTGATGTTGCTGTAAGTGGTTGGTTTTGGAGGAGTAGAGGCCAGACGGCTTCATAAAGTAGGACTTGGAAGTGCTGTTGATATCTTGGTTAGGAATGTTCTTCACCAAGTTTCTTGAAGACTAGCTCACCTCTGCCTTCTTGTGCAAGAACCTTTGAGGTCCTACCCTTCCAACTTAAGGATGAGAAGCCAACCTCAAGATCAGAAATTTACCTATGAAGGAGTACCCAGAAGTAGTACCCAGATGGGGAAAAATGGCAGCTTGAACTAAATTTCAGGTTGCTTTGCTGCCCTACCAGCAAATCTCCTGACTTCATTTTCTCAGGGTACTCTTTCAGCCAGCCCAACCCTGTACCACTGAGTAACTAACTATATCTGCCTTGGCAGCACATTCAGGATTTGTGACCCAGATGTATAACCCAAACAACTGAATATATAAACAAAAACAAACTGCTGTGTTCTTTCAAAACAAATATTACAAAGTTACTCACCTAAACCTGACAACAATGTCATTGTGGTTTTTGCCTTTATAAATGCCGCATCCCTGAACTTTGGGGCAAGAATTCTTTGTGACAAGAGCCTGCTCTTTATAATAAAGAACTCTTTCTCTTAAAGAACTCTTATTTGGCCTTATTGTGGTCTGTAACTTTGTCTCTTGGACTGCAACAGATACACTGTGCTACTAGAATCCCACAGTACCAGAGCACACCAGTTGGAGTGAAAACCTTCAGAACCAGTTTTTACTGTTTTCAAGTTGATCTTGTATCCTGACCACTGCAGAACATCACACATTTGGTAAAAGTTTTCTAAGGAGTTTAATTATGCAAGCATGAGGAGTGTGAGATAGCGGAAGTCCCAAGTCTTAACCTCCCTAGGGTTTGGGTTATGGGTTTTGAGGTAAAGAAGTGTGCAACAATCTAGAGTGGCACCTAGGCTTGTAACCCAGCCCTTATGAGGCTGCAGCTGGAGGATCTATCCAATATTAGCTTGAACTATATAGGGACTTCCAGCCCTTCCTGAGCTACATACAGAGATCCTGTCTCAAAAAGGAAAAATAAAAGCCAGATAATGAAAAATGACCATTGAACTGAGAGAACTTGGCAGAGCGAAGAACTTGACTGCACTGAACATGTTCCAGTGTCTACACAGGGAGCTAAAGAGGCCCTGGATTCTCTTGAATAAAGACAACTTGGGACTTGTGTGATGTAATTTCTGCTGTGAGTCACTAATCTTCCAAAACAAGAACTGGCCATTTTGATGATTTGCCCACATAGGGTACAACTTGTAGTTTTTTTTTTAAATCTAGGGACCTGTGCTGTTGTGCACAGCCTGTTCATGTAGGCTAGGCAGATTAATTTTGTGCTTACTGTTTGCCAACCAGACTTTGGTTTGGACAGCATCATTAGTTGGGGCTAGACATTGATCCATGTGCTTTTAGTTCCTTGAAGTTTTACAACCTTAAAAGGAGCTTTTCTGAATTAAGATGGTTGACGACACGGACCCACTGAGTGCAAGATTCTTGAAGGAATAAACCAGCCACTTGAGGTAGGTGACACTGAATTATCTGCAAAGAAAGAAGGAAAGCTTTGAGAAGCAGAACAGCAGGAGAGGAAGTTCATTATTGAAGCCTTAGCTCCAAGTGGTGAATGATCAGCTTTTGATGAGAGCAGAGAACCACTGTGAAAGGCAAGAAGAAAGCCTACTATCAGCAATTAAAAGAATGAAGGAAGTAGGGGGAGAGGTGGTACATAGACAAAAACCACATGATAGAGTAGCCTGGGGAACAAACCACTCCCCCAAATCTCATAACAGTTCAGAAAACAATGCAGATCTCTTCACTGAGCATATTTGAAGTCTATTCTGGGGTTTATGAAACAGGTGCTGACTGCATAGTGATTGATGCCTGTAATCTCTACACTCGGCTTTAAGGTTAGCCTGGTGTACACGTTGAGTGCCAGCTAAGTCTCAGGTACAGAAAACTAAACAAATCTACAAACAGAACAAGTATATTTGTGTTTGGAAAATATTCTCTGCATTGAACCAACATGTGTAGCATAAAGGCTTTTTGAAAAACCTTTGCTGACTCGGTGTCTTGCAGTTGTAAGACTAAGATTACCTCACCCAGAGCAAGTGCCAGGTGATTATGAGATGGCCTGAAGAGTCCCTATAGAGAAAGTGTGAGTCAGCCTGAGAGGGAGAGCTCCATAATTTAGAATTGTACCTCTGTACTACAAGCTGGAGAGGACCAAATAAAGAAGATAGCAGCTAACCTAATCCTAATCCTAGCTACCAGAGCTCCTATGGAGGAAGAAGAAACAGCAATGATAGAAGTCGAGGCAGTGAAGTGTCAGAGCTGCTGAGCTCTGCCACAGCCACAGAAGCCTGAAGGTGCTATGTCCTCTTGGGTGAAATGATTGACAACAGTTTCTAAGGTCCCTGGAGCCAGAAAGCACTGCTTGGTTCATGAA